CGCCTCATCATTGCATACCTATTTTCTTTTAAACCCGTACGGACAAAGCGCGTTTAATCCATCTAGTTTAATTTAAATTTTAAATGATTAATCTACACTTCTCTCCTTAACTCGGACAGTTGAGTCAGAAGACATTTATTTAATCAATTTTTAAATCTGATATATTAAAACAAAATGATTTCTAGACTTGTGGCATGAAATGATTTCTGTAAATATTTTCATGTAATTTTTTATTTAACTTGTTTGCAGTTTTACATATTTAAAATTTATTTAATTGATTCAGTTAGGTTTAGTCACAACTTTGTTACATAAAAATCGGAACAAACAAAAATCTCAACTACTTATCTTTTGCATATTTTATCCATAAATTTATTAAAGTGCTCTAACTTACATGGTTTAAAAAATTATGTGCATACAAGATGAGCTTTTGATGTTTTGCAAATGTATAACTTTTTTAGATAGAAAAAATTACGATTAAAAGAGATTATTAGACTCCCAATATCAAAAAGAAATTGTTAAGAATTTATTTATTTATTTTTTTAAAAATAAAACGATAGTATAATTTTTAACTATAATCTTATCTGGATTTTTTTTAATTTAGATATCGTTTGTTAAGATAGCATTTACAATTTTCGTACTTTAACCAAAATAAAAGATATTTACTTTTTTAATGATATGTGAATATAGTTCGTAAAAAAAATTCTTATCCGTTTTTGCTTTTTTTTTTTTAGAAAAAAAATTCGATACAATTTGTAAAAATAGTTTGTTAAAAATATTTGTTAGTAGTTTAATTACAAATCAAATTCCAAATGCTCTCTACATATATTAACGTGCTAGACATTTATAATCGCAATCCTTTCCTTTCCAAGTAACCATGCTTTATTGTGTCTTCCTTGTATTTTTTTTGTTCAATACATAATTTATTTAAATGGTCGTTCGAAATATATAGTTACTCACTGACATTTTCTTTTTGTGCAATGCAGAATAGGCACCAGTCTTGAATACATATGCTTGGTATCTGACAATATTTTTGTAATGAGATTGATAAGAGAGTTGCTTATATTGTATACAAATAAAGATTTATCAATTTGATTTTGATGTTTTGCACACTAGCAAAATGATCTTTTTTCCCGAAATTGTTCTGTTATTCATTAATTCATAAATCAGATATCTAATAAAATTAACAATTTTTATTTTATTTTTATCGATACAGGCAATGCTAAGCCATTTACCATTCCAATATTCAGGAATTCTCCAAACTAGGTGTTATTCTAAACCGATTTTGATGATTAATATGTCGAATTTTAGACTATTGGTACATTCAAAACGTATCATCTTCCAAATTTTGCTTTAAATACATGTTTATATATTTAACGATAATCCGAACAGACAGTTCCAACCATTGTTATTTTTTAGTAATATCATCCAAAATTTTATTGAAGTTTTTACTCATTCCGATTTACACTATTTGCGCAACGTGCGGGGCTAAGATTAGTATGTGTGGCTTCAAATTGTATATGACCCGACTCTGTAGTTGGAGAACTTTATTTGATTCTTTTAAATCAATACCTTTAAAATCTTGGCGAATTTTGAATAAGTAATTCTATGGCAGAATTTGATAATTTAGGAGTATATCCTATGTCCATTTTTTTTTTTAATGCTGAAACTATCACTCGTTTTAGAACTTTGAAATTAAAGTTATATTTAAGGTGTCGAACTAAAAGGCAGACAAAATTTGAAGATGGAGGCTTTGCGTATATGTGAAACTGAAGGGAACCATTTTCAGTCTAGTTTTTTTTAAAAGGAAAAAAAATTTCTCAATGACTCTGTTAACACCACCGTTAGCAACTTTTGTTGGAGAAAAGTCCAAAAGGACACGTGGCGCTTCGTGGTTGAATGTCACAGGGAGCGACAAAAAGTTGTGTTACAATATATACTCACCCATAATTAGAGATGTTCTTACACCAGATTTGATGTAAATTGTTCAATACACTATTTTTTTACTTTAATCTAAACTAGATGCTTGGCCCAGGCAGATGCCTGGGCGCCCCTCTACTGTAATTTTGTGTTAATAGATAAATGAATTCTTGATTTGGAAAAAATAAAATAGTTACACATTTGTTTTTTTTCTTTTTTAGCCAAAAGTAAAAAAAATATTGAAAAGTACAACGATGCAGAAATCATAGAAAAGAATGTGGAGTAATAAAGGGGATAAGTTTATGGGCAAATTTAAATGTTATTTTAATTTAATTGATAAATAATAAATGTTAGGAGTTAAAATTGTGTAGTTTTGTTTCTCTGGATAAGGGAATTTTTTTTTTTAAAAAAAGGATGACACGTGGCGGAATGGTTAATGCAATATGGTGCATTTGGAGCCAAAATTTTTTAATAAAAAGTTGCCACATCAACATCCTGTATTCTGCTTTAATAGGGTAAAAGGGATATATGTTTGCTCTGTAATTAAACTTATAAAACGAATTATGTTGTGAAAATTATATCATATTAAATATTTTATTAAGATTTTCAAAAAATAAGCATCTTGAATATAAAATTGGTACGTTTTTTTTTTCCAAAAATTGATTTTTAATTATTATTAAAATTAAATATCAAACAGAATTGAAAAAACTTGACATTTCTACAATCAAATAAAAAGCGATTATAAAAAACATATTCCACACAATTATCACCAAATTACAAGCATTTAATTAACTACAAAATAAAATTTAAACTAAAATATTTAATATTCTTTTTAGGTAAACTATGAATTTTATTACTTTCTAACAAAATGTCCACATATTTACATTATATACAGTTGATAGTACCACTCCTATCTACTGAATATAACCTCACATTAACCAAAAGCATCACCCATATTTCATACTGTACCATACTAACCAAAATCAACTACTATTACTATGACTTTCAATTTAAACTTTCAACAAAACCAGTTTCTCTTTGTTTCTTTATCTTGCAGCAGTACTAGATCCTCATCAAATTTCCTTCTCAATCTCCTCATAGGCCACCTCTGGTAGTTTATGCTTCATGTAGCATCAGATTTCTAGCTTGCCATATCTTGTAGTATCTTGCTTCTATGACAACACCCTACTTGAGTTTACCACTTCTCTATATGTAAGGCTCTGTTTGATAAAAATTAGTGTTTTATTCTGATGCTTAATATTAAATTAAAAATACTGAATATATTAAGCAGTTACAAAATAAATAATAACCTAACCTTTATTGTTTATATTTTGAACTGGAGTTTCAGTACCACTTAAATCATTAAGAGATTCATTTTTTGTTATCAAACATGCTGAAATGTAAAAATGCTTAATTTTAAATATTAATTAGTTTTATCGAACAAGCCCCAAGGCATTTTGTTTCCCAGTTCTTTACATTTGCCCAAGTGACTGGGAACTTCAACCAGTTTCCAAGTTGTTGCCAGAGAGCAATGACAAAGCTACATTTCACAAATAGATGTTCTGGGTTTTCTTCACCGGTGTTACACAAGAGACATGCCATATTACTAACCTCCATTCCAATGTGCCTCATTCTGTCTCTAGTCAATAATTTTTCTTGCCAGTAGAGCCGTGCAATAAAATAGTGCTTGGATACACTGATTTTATTCCAAGATGCATCAAAGTTGGAGGGCAAAGAATTTTAGTGTAAATAAATGCTTGGAATGTTTTATTTCTTCACGAAATTTTTTACAAATTATAGTGTGATGGTTGGAATCTCACCTTTGTTTGTTTTCTCAAATCTCAACTCACACATGATCCAAAGTTCAATTGATAATTTTGTTTGAATTTCTCGACAATATCTTGTTAAGTAGGTGACCGTGGAAAAAAAATATTCTTTTCCTTCGGATTTTTTTTACTAGAGTATAAATCGTTTACAAATGAAAAAATATAACTGTATAATAATTATTTTAAAATAGAGGAATAGATTGTTAGCTAGTACATTACAAAACGCTACATACATTGAGCGAGAGATCAGATGCATCTAAAAACCGTTAGATCCATGTGTACACGATTTTCTTAAGAAACAAAGGTTGCTATATTTTAGTCAAAGTTGATACATGGTGGAACTCTATCCAACTTGCTCATTATTTGCATTTGAATTCCATAAGAGAAATAGTAGTAACCAAAATTTAATCAAACTAATCATATTAAGAAGTAACAAATTTTGTCTTAAAAATGCCACAAATTTGTTGCAAACTTGCAACAAAGGCCAAAACAAGTCGGTAAGTTTCATTGTAAACCAAAGTTTGGTAATCCGAAAACAAAATGCTGGCAAACACAAGAGGCCATTTCTATACTTTTACTTTGGATTGTTGCTTTGATGTATTATATGGCCGGACAATAAAAACAGCTTCTCAAATCTCCATTTGACTCCAAATGTAAAAGGGCCTATAAAGCTGCCGCCATGGGTGGAGAAGATTGCAAGTGTTAAGTCCCAACGGACAAAGATTCCAGAATTACTTGTATTGTTATTAGAAGTTATACATACATACTACATAGAATTACACATTTATTGGGCTGTCTTATGTTTCACATCATCATCATTTTTTATATATTTGGTTGAATCGAACGTTTTCCTTAACTTTGGAAACATTAGTATTAACCACCTCTCTTTGCGTACAACCACCGACCCACATCAATCTTTCTCACGAAAACTACGCTTTAAGCATCAAACAAACAAAGAAAGAAGGAAATTTAGAGAGCACCGGAAAAGTTCAGGGAAATTTCGTCTGTTTTAGTGCCTTGTTAGTGTATTGTAACGAGGAAGTCTCTTGTGGGAAAGAGAGAGTTTTTGAAAAAGGGAGAAATTTTAGAGGAAGAAGAAAAAAAGATTGAATTTTGATGCTTTTTGAGAGTGGCCCTTTGGAATGTTTTTCCATGCTTTGACGTATGAATTTGAGAAAAAGCCTTTTGCAGTGCAGCAGTTCTTGACTTTGTGAATTTTGACAAAGGTTAGTTTTCTAGTCTCTCTGCCCCGCGTCCTAATTTTCTTCTCCTCTATTCTTGGAAATGTACCAAAAAAATTTAATGTGTTAGAATATAACCATGGCAATTCTGGACCTTTTTTTTTGGTTGGTTGTTGATTTGAATTTTCATTTCACTCATTAGTTTTCCTAACTTGCAGGATTGTATAGATTTTTCGTGTTTGTTTTCTTCCGTTAAGGGACATTGGGTTAACAGTTATGCTAATGTGTGGAGATGGGACGGTGTTTGTTTCCCCAAACTCAGAACCAAGATAAGGGATGGCTGATCGCACGAAACCAATGGCAGGCCCCAATTCTCATCTTGAGGTGATCTCTCCTATCTCTGGCTGCATCAGGTTTTTTGTTGAGAATGTTTTCTTTCCTGATAGTAGGTCATACCTTCCATGATTACATGCGAATGGTTCGTAAATAGTAAAGTTTGTATGTGAATTATAAGAGAATCAATGACTGATGGTTGTACCAAACAGCTCAGTGCTCATAATCAACGGGAAATTGGTTGTACATTTCATTGTTTGTGCTATTTCACGGTGTATGGTTTATTAGTGCTGTTCCCCGTCATTCGAAATTTTTGAATAGATAAGGGATTATGCTGCATTTTTTTTTTCTTTTGTATCTATAGCTGGATGTTTCGGGCTGATATGAATGCTGCTTCTTCTGCATTAAGTAATCATTCTTCTTTTCCTATCCAAAATATGTACCCTGCATCTCTGCAGTGTCAGATTTCTCTCCTCTTTCCACTTTGTAATTCTCATAGTCACATTCTGAGAATTATACTTGAGTGAGCAAAAATATGGCTGGCAAGAGAGAGGGGTAGGGGGGTGGGGGTGGAGGACTTTGCACCTGTTTATGGAGTTTTGTGATTTTGTCTAACAAAGTGCATTTGTTCTTCAGATGGGATCTTTAGACGGAAGATCGGTGCTTGAGTTTGAGGATGAAAGTCTATTCAGCCCAAGAACAATGTCTATCAAGAATTCATCGCTTGATGCTGCTCCTCACAGATCTTTCTATGAAGCAGAAGAATTTGGTTGTAAATGTATCTTCAGTAGGACATTTAACAGCATTAGAAGGGTTATGTTCTCTGACAAGTTAAATTTGCTTGTTCCTTGCGGTCCTTTAGCAATAATAGTTGATACGTGGACTAGCCATCATGTAAGCATGAAATCTCTTTGCCCTTTGTCCTTTTTACTTCGTATCTTCGGATAACTTAATCATCTAAATCCATTTCAGGTTTGGGTTTTTTTCTTGAGCTTACTAGGCATCATACCACTGGCTGAGCGACTAGGTTGGGCAACAGAGTAATATTCTGCCTATGGAACTTGCAACTGTGTCGAAGTTAGATTGCTTAAACCATTGATTGTTCACTCATTCACCGTGGTAACATGCTTATAAATAACTAGAGGAAAATTAGTTGGTACAGACTATTTTAATCTTTGTTAAGTCGAAAAGAAAAAATAATAATCATCACTGTAATTCTGTTTGCTTCTTACATAACAGAAATCACTTAGAGAAATTTCTTTTGGTCTTCAGTGAATTAATACAAGTACACATGGCATAAATTTACTTGGTGTTGAATGAGTACTTTAAAATCAGCCGTACCTGACAATACTTCACCTTTTTTTTCCCTTTTGTTTGTAGGCAGCTTGCTTGTTTTACAGGACCTACAGGTACTTCCCCTAAATCCTAACATGTTCCTTCACTTCTGAATAATCAGTTCTCTCTTATTTTGTTACTGGGCTGCGTTGACATATGAATTCGCTTTTTTTGGTACTCTTGCTTTGTCATGTTTTGTTTTGAAGTATTCCATGTAAGTAGTAAATAGTTTAATTAATCACCATTTTAGCTCTAGAGTTTTGGTTAATTTCCTCGAGATCACATCTAAGGTTCGTCTAAATATCTAGGCCTTGATTTAGTTGGGCGATGTCTACTTAAAAAGTTATTATGGCTTGCTCACATATTGACAGAAACAATTTATGGGTGGGATATTCATGATCTTTGTCTTAAAGATATTATAGGTCTGTGTGTAAGCTACTGTGAAGAAGATATAAAATGGTGGTCAATGAGAATTTGTATATTCTGTTTTGCTTCTACCTCAATTTTTGCAAATATTTTGTTTTTCCCTCATAAGGCAAATAATGTTTGTTACTCAAACTTTATTGCATACCGTTCACTAACCTTGTTCACTCTAATGACAGAAGACAAGACTTTTTCTACACCACCACCATCGTTCCTGCTCATTTATTGATTCTTACTTTGGAATTTTTCCGTAAACACTGCAGTTCTGCAGTTAAACGATCTATGACTTTGTCATTAGGTTTTGATACAAATTAAGGAACTTCATCAAGCCCTTCTGGAATCATTTTTTTATTTCAACCCCTGGATTATTACTGATAGTGATTGTATTAGTGATTCTAAAGTTTAATACCCTCACGTTGAGCATAAATTTCTTCCAGTCCTTTAAGTAAGCTATATTAACCAACAATATTCTTCCTGATATTTGCAGTTGGAGGTCTTTTAAATGCTACCTTTGGAAATGCAACAGAGCTGATAATATCAATGTATGCACTCAATAATGGAATGATACGTGTGGTTCAGCAATCTCTATTGGGCTCAATTTTGTCAAACATGTTGCTTGTACTTGGATGCGCATTTTTTGGTGGAGGAATTGTTCATTCTCATAAGGAGCAGTTGTTTAACAAGGTTGGTAACTGTCTGGTTCTCTATATGTATATGTTGGATTTATTTTCTTCGTAACATTTGAAAATTTTGCTTGAAATCTGGTTACTTCATGACTTTTGCCGAGGAGTTTTTAGTTTTCAACTTCTCTTGTCAGGCCAATGCAGCTCTCAATTCCGGGTTGCTGTTGATGGCAGTTATGGGACTGTTATTTCCTGCTGTCCTCCATTTTACACACACAGAATTACATTTTGGGAAATCAGAGTTGGCTCTTTCAAGATTTAGTAGCTGTGTGATGCTTGTAGCATATGCTGCTTATCTTTTTTTCCAGCTGACTAGCCAAAAGAATTTGTATTCTCCAGTTAATGAGGTAAATACTGGAGTTGTTTTTTATAATCTTGTTACTTGCTTCTTTTTTTGGGTGGTTTTCTTGACTCTGGCATTAAAGTATGCTCGTTGGTCCTCCTATTGTAAGAGCTAAAATCCAGAAGATCTCTGCACTTTTTGACCATCGTTATTTAACAAAAGAAAAAAAAAATTGTTCTAATGTTAGTCAAGTATCTTACATGCTCAATGCATACTATTTCTATATGTTCCTCTTGAATATGATTTACATTGGTTCTGTACTTTTCAAGTCATCCTTTTTCTCTCTTGCATCGTTTGCTATTTACCTCTTTGCCACCCATATCTGAAAGTTTTTGCGTGTGTGTGGTATATTTGTAGTTCTCATTCATTTTAGAATTCCAACTTTATTTGGGAAGTCATTTGTAGCCATTATCATTTTGGATCTACTTTGATCTCAAGATTTTGACTTTATTTGGACAGGGAGATCAGACTGATGGCAGTTCAGAGGAGGAAGAAACTCCTGAGATGTCAAAGTGGGAGTCAATTATCTGGCTCGCAATTTTGACTATATGCATATCAGTCCTCTCCGAGTACCTAGTTAATGCAATAGAGGTAATACTTCATTCATCTGCATCTTCAGATTTTTAGGGGTTACGGTTCCATGGTATTCTGTATATATTGCTCTTGTAAGGATATATGAAATCCTCAGGTAAAGAAAGCATTCTGTTCAAATAAATATATTCTCATTCTGTTAATTATTTTGAATTTTTATTATGGAATAGTTTCTGCTAAATCTCTTTTTGCTAATATTTTCTTTCATCCCTCAAAGTTTGAGATTGCTTTACTTGATGGCTCTCTCTCAAATTACTTGTCCACTTTTGCATGTATCTGCAGTTTTATTTAGCACTCTGACACAGTTAACCTTTCAGGGCGCATCTGTTTCAATGAACATTCCTGTGGCCTTTATTAGTGTCATCCTACTCCCCATTGTTGGAAATGCAGCTGAACATGCTGGAGCTGTGATGTTTGCTGTGAAAGACAAACTTGTGAGTCTTTCACTCGGTTCGATTTACATCATATAGCCCAAATTGGCGTAACAGATGTTAATTTGTTGTTGCATGTTGCAGGACATCTCACTTGGTGTAGCAATAGGTTCATCAACACAGATTTCAATGTTTGCAGTAAGTAGTGATCACAGTATATCATATGAACTCCCATTTGTTGATCAAATTGCTTGCTTATGATCATTGTCTTTGCTTACAATAAGGTCTTAAGCGTTGACATATTTCTGTAACTCTTTTTTTTTCCCTTATTTTTTGAAAAAGTTTCCCTCAATTGCTCATTATTTCTATTTTATTTTCACGTGACTGCAGATCCCTTTTTGTGTAATAGTTGGTTGGATAATAGGCCGTCCAATGGATTTGAATTTTCAACTTTTTGAGACTGCTGTACTTTTCATGACTGTTCTTGTAGTGGCTGTTATGCTCCAGGTTTGTAGAGCTTGCAATTTGTTTCTGCTTTTCTTTGTTAGTGATATTTCAATTGCTAGACTAAAACATCGTGCTTGCAGGAGGGAACATCTAATTATTTCAAGGGCTTCATGCTCCTTCTATGCTACCTCATAGTTGCAGCGAGTTTCTTCGTACATCTAGATCCCAAATCCATACGTAAGTAGCCCCAATTATTTCTTGGATGATTGACTGTTGCATTTTTTCTTACCCTTCTTGAACTTGAAGTTTATTTCTTTCTTTAAAACATACTAGATGCTTGTCCCGGGCAAATGCCCGGGGCGTCCCACCTAATTAATCGATATGTAAATAATCAAAACTGATTAGGAATGAATTTAGTTTTTGATGAAGATAATTGATTGACAAATTAATTTTTTCGGAAGTCCTAAATAAATGGAGAAGGAAAATTTCATACACTGTCAAATTCAAAATTTGAATGAACGTGACCATCTGATCTCTTCGTTAATATTGTAAATATATTTTTTATTTTTAAAATGAGGTGACACGTGGCAGAATGATTATAATGCAATATGGTGCATTTGGAGCCAAAACATTTTAATAAGAAAATGGCACATCAGCATCCTGTTTTCTGCTTTAATAGGGTATAAAAGGGATGCGCGATATACTAGGCTGAAGCTTACAGACTTACAAACATCCACTATATTCGACCTAAAAGTCTCATCAGTACATTCCATTTGCCTCTCGATTTCTCAATTTTGATTGTTACTGATCTCAAATATTTATATGCTCACTCGAAGAAGTTCACAACCACTCGAGTCATGCTTATATCAGATGACCAGTGATGAGACCTTTTCTGTTTTGCATTCAGCCAACAGTTCCCTGCTATACTGTTCAGGAGGTTGAGCGCGATTAAAAGTGTTCATTTGTGATGTATGATTGAAAATAAATGTTACTTTGCAATCACAAACTTAAACCCAAAGAGATATGATTCTCCAATATATTTGGCTGGAGGTTTGCGTGATAAAATCTGCTCATTCATGATGTATGACTAAACGTAAATTTTTTTATTTTTTTTTTACAGAGGACAAGCCTAAATCAGAAGGTACGTGATTCATGAAGTCCAAGAACTACGTAATGGAATCCACGCGTTGCAGATCAGAGAATCTAAAACTTGTCGATGAGAAAGTGGATCCTCATACGCTGATCATGCAGCATGATGCTCCAGTACTTCACCTTATATTAGTGATGGTGAAACCATTCTTAGCTCTCGAATCCTGACTCCATTCGACAAGATTGTACTTCTTGTGATATAGAAGAATGCTGATTGTAGATGAGTTATATACATGGTTAGAATCTTAGAAGTGACCAATATGGGATGTATTGTGAAAATTATGCATTTAACTACACGGCTGTCTTATACCTAAACAACAATGGGTTAGCCTGCAAAATGTAATGCCTTTGGAAACTAAAGATGATGATGAATAGCACATTTTCCACAATGCTTCATTTGCTGTGACTTTCAGGTCAAATAGTCCAAGAACCTACGACAAATGGTCCATTATTCATAAGAATGGTTCTTCATCACGTCATTCCACACTATTCACTTGGTACTTTTCATGTTTCGAGAGTATTTTCTTCCCTGAAAGCCTTCAAGAAGTCAAGCATCTTAGAGAGATGATGTTCTCCTCATAGTAAAATCGATGACGAGAATCCCAGTGAACGCCATATTTGCTCCCAAATATTGTGGAGGATGAGGATGAATCAATGTGCATCACAATCTCTTTGGTCCCTTTTTCCTTGGGATCATTCAAGTAAATCGAAGCAGGAAAGCCACATGAGTGAGATATCAGCACATTTCCATTGGGAAGTATTCCGTGAGCCAGGAAAGGCGATCTCCGAGATGGAAGGGCGAATTCTTTTTCCTCACCCCACACAGTTTCACCACCCTCCTCCCCAGGATTTCTCCAGTTTCTAAACAGGAAAGAAGAACCCTTTTTCAAACTAGACACGACCGCCATGGGCCCGAAAATTGGCCGATAAGTTTTGCGATACCTCTGAGTTCCTGTCTCAGGTTTTGGAAACGGAATGATATGAAACTTCTCCTCAGCAATATCAAAGACCAGGATGCTGTCATCATCGTCTTCTTCTGTGTATACATTCCAGTAAAACACGCCGTCATCGTCAGGCCACCGACTTGAACGTTGTGTCCATCCATTAGTACACTGACCTAGATCGACATCTCTCCAGGCCGTATTTGTCCCGATAATTCAGAATCTCGCACTTTGTACCATCATACAACCCGTATTCCCTGTCTTCACAAAAGTTTAACAACTTGTACTGATTCAGGACGGGATCAAAACCGAGATGGTAATTTCCATGACCCCGATCATCTTCGTACGAAGAATCAGGGAGCCTCAGGCTTTCCCTGGTGGCAATGTTGTAGAGCCACGAGAGTTTTCCGCTGTAAAAACAAACCAGGCCTTTCACTACATTGGTGGCCCACCTTCTTTCTCCCTTGTAGCTTCTCACTGAAACAGGGCCGCCAGGGTGGTTGTGGCGGTGATCCACGGTGGAGTAGTGACGAATCTGAGTACTAGTGGGGCTGTCCTGATGATCAGTATTAAGATCAAGAGGGATAAAATATAAAAATGACATCTTGGAGGAGATCCCTCTCCGGGGCTCACAGTGTAAAAGGCCTCGGGTACCGCCGCGATAAGTTTTCGCAAAGGATGGATCGGTGATTACTGAAAGCCGAGTCGTGAAGATGCACTTGAATCACATCAGAGATTTTACAGGAAGCCATGCCAGAATTTCGGGATACAAATCGTGAGGTATAAAAGGAAGAGCCATTAACGATCTCAAAAACCGATTGAGAGAGTTAGGACCGCTTTATTAAGCTCGTGACATACAGAGAAATATGACAAACACATGTAAACGAGTTGATTCTTTGTTTTGGTGTTTTGTTGTCTTGTAAAATGCGACACACATTTAGCCTGCTTTTTGCAAAGAATGTTTTCGATCTTGTTAGGCATAAGTAGTGTCCAGTGAGTAACTCCATCTTTAGCCGGCCATCTATACATGTCTCCATTACGAATTCAGCCCAATTGTCATAATCGCGCACTTTGAACTGCAAGGAGGACCCATATAGAGGCATTTTCCCATGTTGTACAGCTTAAGACTGGTATCAAAACCGAGATTTACAACTTTGGGAACTCCAAACAGAGATGGTAACTTCTTGTGAACTTTGGAAGCATCGTTGTGACAGGTAGTTTAGGCTTTGTCCCTCGTTGTGGCTAAGGCGGCGGAATGTTCGGAAATTTAGTGATCGCTGTCGAGAGCGAGGAAATCCCCCAAAAAAAAAAGAAAAAACAGCCATGTGTATCACAATCTTCTTGGCTTCCTCCCATTTTTGGGACACATCAGGATCTTCCTGTCGGGAAGTATTCCATCAACAACCGAATTCTGAAATGAACACACAAATTCTACTTCGTCCTCCCACTCCTCAGCTTCAGCAGCTTCGTTTCTAGTCGCGGAAAATATGTGTTTGATCAGAGCATCTGAAACTTGTTGACCACTTAATTAGAGTGATCTTGCGGCACAATGGTCCAGAGAGTTTCACATTTTCTTGGTGATAAATGATTAACCATTTCGTTGCTCTCCGATTTGACTTCATTGGGTTGGTCTCTGGCATGGTTAATTTGACTTCTCAAGGTTGTGCATCTGTCCCTATCAGCATTCCAGTGGATTAGTGTCATCATACTACTCCCTATTGTTGGAAATGCAACTGAACATGCAGAAACTGTAATGTTTCAGGTGAACGACGAACTTAATTAAGAGCCTTTTACTTCGTTCAGATCACATTATACGGCACAATAGCCCGACAAAAGAGAGTTACTCCCAAAATAATTAAGTAAATACTAGTAAAGTTTTGAAATTTGTACTAAAAAAACATACACAAGTCTCGAAAACTCAATATGAAATGAGGGCTGATTTGTTTGAAGCATTTCCTTCCTTTAAAATAACTTCAAACTTCAAAGCATTCACATTCATTATTTATTCAGTAGGTTTCATTTGTCTCTCCCTAAAGATTAGTTTACATGAGTTTCAAGTCAAATATTCTAACAACATAGAGGCATACTCTTCAAGAACAAAAGAATAACGGAAAGTTCCAAACAAAGTAAGAGTTCAGTAATCATACCTGCTAAATATATAGGAGTACACACAACTCCTCAAGAAGTCAAGCATCTCAAAGAGATGATGTTCTCAGCGAAAGAGTACCGCTGATGGCAATGCTGCCAGTCAAGGCCACAATTTCTCCCAAGCCCAAATATCGTGGAGGACGAGGATGGATCAATTTCCATCTCAATCTCCTTCGTCTCCTTCTTCATTGGATCATACAAGTAAAATGAAGCTGGAAAGTCTTTGAAGTTAGATATCAGCACTTTTCCATTGGGAAGTATTCCATCAGGCTGAAGAAACAACACCTGCGACGGAAGAACAAATTCTTCTTCATCACCCCACACAAATTCCAATTCCTCGGCTCCTGGATTCCTCCGAATGTTACACAGCACAAAAGAACCATGCCTCAATCCATGTTCATCATGGAATTTAGACATCAAAGCCATAGTAGGCCCAAAATAGGGCAGATAATAGTAGTTCCTCCTCCAGCTTTCGGGTCGTGTTTGCAAGGGAATCAATTGGAACTTCTCTTGAGCAACATCGAAAACAAGGAGGCGTCTTTTATCACCCCCATCCCCATGATCCACATTTATTCTCCAGTACAGAACTCCACTTGATTCCGACCACCGGCGTGGACCTGTTTTCCCCCTAAAACCACACAAATTGACATCTCTCCAGCTCATATTGGATCCAATTGTCAGAATCTCGCACTTCGCATCAATCGAAAGCCTTCTGTCCCTGTTCAGACACAAGTTGAGGAGCTTGTACGATTTAAGAACCGGGTCGAAACAGAGATGGTAAATACCCACATCACCGCTTCCATTCCACGCTTCGTAGGTTGAAACAGGGAGTTTCATGATTTCCCGGGTTGCAATGTTATACAGCCACGAGTTTTTACCTCGGTAAAAACAAACCAGCCCGTTGACAACGTTCGTCATCCGCCGTCCCTCATCCTTGGGCCGGTCAACCGGGTCGACGGAGCGGTGATCCACGTTGGAGTAGTGACGGATTTGAGTTGACCGGTGGCCGTCGTCATTGTCGAGCGGGAGGAAATACAAAACCGCCTTCTCGTAAGGCCGCGGAAAAAAGGGCTCACAGAGCAGAACTCCTTGAGAACCGCCGCGATGCATTTCGGCTAGGGATGGATCGGTGATTACTGAAAGCCAAAACTTGGAGACGCACTTGAATCGCATCAGGGACTTCACAGGGAGAGGTGGGAGGATCTTCAGAAGCATTTCACGAGGAATAAATGGAGACTCCTCCATTAAACGAGATCTCGAAACGACGAAACCCTATACTCCGATTGGAAGAAATTACAGAGAGGGAAAAGAAAAAAAACCCTATTTTAAGTCTGAGAAAATGACTGCATAGAGGATGATGGATCACTAATAAGATGGTTGAATAAGTCTCTGGTGGAATAGAAAGATTGCGGAGTCTTGTTTTGGAGTATTATGCAATTTTGAAAATTGTAGAGAAACGAGCGGGAGTTGTTGCAGAGGTCGTTGAGTTGAGACACATATATCGGGGATCAAATTTTGCTGCCCATTCTCTAGCAAGTAGCAACCCCTGCATATACTATCCCTGGAGGAATCTTGAAATTGGATGACCCGCCGGATGCGGTGAAACTGTGGTTACAGCATGTTATAGTTGGTATTTCGTACCAACGATTTGTGTTATCATAGTTTTCAGGTTTTGCCTCCTTCATTTGTACCAAAAAAAAAAAAAAAAAATTATTGAGGAACTGCCGGAAACTGAAGAGTAATCCATTCAGTCTTTTGTAATAATATAGTAGAATTTGGTTTCTTACTTTCTTTGGATTATTACTACATATCAAATGTCTTGTAATGTAGTAAGTTGTTACTCTTGGAAAAACTGTTTAATGTTCCTATCAAAATCATAAATAATTAAGGGAGGCAGAGATTCAACAAACATAAATCTTCTTCCAATCTTCTTCTTACGTTAATAAAATTCTGAAACTGACTCTAATTTGATTTAACTAATCTAATAAACATCACTGCTAAACATCAGCCATGGTTGAACCGTGGCATTACAGACTGCGTTCTGTTTAAGCAAAACTTTCCTCATCATTCCGTAAAGTCTTTTGGATTTCGAATGGAAAGTTTCTTTGGTATACCTTCTATTATCTCTCTCCAAGTTTAAACCTTCTATGAAAAATACGCATTGATTTTGGATTTCACCCCGCTCGGCGAGTGTACTTCTGCTGGATGAGTTTTTGTGGTATAGAAGAATGCCGGATGTAGATGGATGTATTATTAACTTAGAAATTGCCATTATGAGATAAATCGTGCAATTTATCCATGAAATAAAAACTAGATTACTGGTTTGCCTGCAGAATGCAATTCCTAGCAAGTTCAAGTTGGAACCAATGATGATGAAATGCGGGAACAGAGGCATTTTCTTATTTGAAATAACTTCAAACTTAACAGCATTTTACATTTTCCAATAGGCTTTGTTTGCTCTCTCGAGTCTCAGGTCAAATATAGTCTGATAAGATAAAAAGGAACATGATCTGAATAACGGAAAGATTAAAGCTAAGAGTTCTAATAAGAGTTCTTGCCTGGTACCGTTGCAGATTGAATTTGGATCATAGCATTATCATATAAAGAAGTTGAATTTAGTTAAAAGAAGATTTCAGGTCCACTGATCTTTGTAAATTGTAATATCGCATCAAACCTCCTGTCCAACTCTTCCTCTGGCATTCACAAACAAGTTGGATCGTGCGCCTTTGCAAAATTCTTTTTCGGATTAGTTTACCGACGATCATGACTGGAAGGTTTCACGTCCAAATCTTTAGAATCCGAAATTGCAACAATATGTATGTTAGAGACTGTAAATATATAGTCTTTGTAAATGTATATTTACTTTGTACGGTTTTACCGAAACCCTAACCGGAAACCCTAATTGTATAAATGTTGTAACGTGATTAATGAAAACAGACTTTTCGTCAGTCACGATTTTTGGATGCCGGTCTGTTCAAACTTTGTCATGGTATCAGAGCAAGGTTGATCTTGTTCTGAAATTCACAATTTTTCCTTCAATTTTTTTTTTCAATTATGGTTAAAACAGAAAGCTCAGGTGAGAAGAATAAAACTGCTGGCAGCCACGACATTGTTAACTGGCGGAAAATCTCGCCTAATGACTTGACGACGAGCGATCAAACCGGTTCTATCATCACAAATGTTCAGTTTAAAGGGAGTAATTATGAAGAATGGTCACGGGCGATCAGAATGGCGCTTCGGGCTCGAAAAAAATTTTGGTTTTCTGGATGGCTCGATCAAACCTCCAGTCGATGATGCTGACCTTCTTGCTGATTAGTGGGCGAATAACAGTCTGCTTTGTTCCTGGATTTTAAACACTACCGAGCCAGCCACCAGGTCCACGATCTCATCTCTGTAGGATGCTCGAGAATTATGGAATCATATTCGATCAAGGTTCTCCATCATTAATGGAACTCGTATTCAGCAGCTCAAGCCGTCTTTCGCCGAATGCAAGCAGAAAGGTTTGTTCGTGGCTTCCTATTACGGCAAACTGATCAAACTTTGGGAAGAGTTGGCTGATTACGATCAACCAGCGGTCTGCAAATGTGGTCTTTGTCGTTGCAATCTGCCGAATGGGATCGTAGGTGTAAAGACGAGAGAGTGCATCAATTTTTGATGGGATTGGATTCCACTCTTTACGGTACTGCTCGGTCGAATCTTTTGGCTCAAGATCCACTTCCTAATCTGGATCGAGTTTACTCCATTATGACTCAAGAAGAGAGGCTTCGTTCGGCTGCAATTGAGTATGAGATTCATGGTGGCGATGCTGCGGCGTTTGCGGTTCAAGTTGCTCCATCCGCCGCTGTTGTTTCTGGTTCATGCCCACCGCTGCACTCTTCTGTTGCTGGTTCCAGTTCAAGAGTCCGTGGTCGTCGTTCTAGCCCTAATCAAAGTCATTTGATCTGCACGTATTGCAGCAAACCCTATCATGATGAGTCCACTTGCTTCGAGAAGCACGGTTATCCGGATTGGTACCGGGGGCCTCGCGGAGCTGCTGCTGGTGGTACATCGTCTACTCCGCCTGGTGGTGTTGCGGTGCCCCCTGTTGATGCTTCTCAGATTGGTTTTCTCCCCGCTGCAGCTGCCGGTCGTGATACAGGTCGTGGAGGTGGTAATATTCATGGGTCGATGCGTGCTCATGCAACACATGTTGTTGATGCAGCGGCTGGGTCTCTCATGTTGGGTGCAGGTGATAAGGCTGTTACCGGTCTTAATGATGATCAATGGCGCAAGGTGATAGATTTTTTAAACTCGGGAAATGGTGGTCATGATTCCCTTCCCGGTACGTATTTTTCCGCCAAATGGATGTATGATTGTGGTGCTACACATCACATGAGAGGTTTTCTGGAATACTTGACGGATATTCGGGATATTGTCGCATGTCCGGTTCAACTTCCTAATGGCACATTGACTCTCGCCAACAAAGCTAGGACGGTTGTTCTTAATAGCAATGTGAAATTGCTCAATGTGTTGTTTGTTCCGAGTTTACAATGCAATTTGATTTTATTGTTTCAATTGTTGGATCAGTCTCATTGTATCGCTCGGTTCACTAATACTTTTTATGTTATCTAGGACCGCACTTCGAGGACAGTGATTGGCACGGGTGAACAGTTGGGGAGGGTCTCTATTGGTTCCGGGGGACAGTTACGACTGCTGCTGTTCGTACTGGTGATTCTTCGGCTTCTTCCTTGTGGCACCACCGCTTGGGGCATCCGTCGTCTCGTGTTCTTGAAAAGTTAGCTATTTCTTGTTCTGTTAGTAGAGGTTGTTTGAATAATACAGCTTGTGATGTTTGTTTGCGTGCAAAACAATCACGAGAAAGCTTTCCTATTAGTCAAACTAAGAGTGTTGAGCTTTTTCATTGAATACATTGTGATTTATGGGGTCTGTATCGAACTCCCACTTTTTCTAGTGCTAGATATTTTTTGACAGTGGTTGATGATTATTCTCGTGCTACCTGGCTTTTTCTGCTTACGGTTAAATCTGAGGTTTCTAAGACTTTGAGACAATTTTTTGCTATGGTTTACTGCCAATTTGGAAAATTGGTGAAAGTTGTCCGTAGTGATAACGGTTCTGAATTTCTCTATATGAGTTCCTATTTTCGTGATCATGGCATACTTCATGAAACATCTTGTGTTGGCACACCACAACAAAATGGCTGGGTTGAACGCAAACATCAACATATCTTGAATGTTGCTCGTTCTTTACTTTTTCAAGCTACTTTACCTCTTGAGTTTTGGGTCACTGTGTGTTAACTGCTGCCTATCTCATTAATCGCCTTCCTACACCTATTTTGGATGGTAAATCTCCTTATGAATTGTTGTTTGGCAAAACCCCTCCCCTTGATCACCTACGAGTCTTTGGGTGCTTATGTTATGTACATCATCGAGACCGGGGTGGTGATAAATTTGCTGGTCGTAGTCGTCGTTGTGTTTTTGTTGGATATCCTTTTGGGAAGAAGGGTTGGCAAGTCTATGATATTGAGTTAGGAATTTTCTTGGTGTCTCGGAATGTTGTGTTTCATGAGACTGATTTTCCCTATTTGGCCTCTGTATCTGAGGAGTCTACTCGTATTAGTCCTGATTTGTCTGTTCCTATCATTGATGATGATGAGCACATTGTTGTTAGTTCCTCTCCTCCTGTTGAGTCCTCTCTTTCGGTTTCTCAATCTGGTGAAGTCTGCGTTGATTGGGGGGGCTCCAGTGTGCCTTCTGACACTGTTGAACCATTGGGACGTGGCCATCGCACGAAGATACCTTCTTCCCGTCTGCGAGAATATGTTACTGAGACCATTCGTCCCCCACAACCCCCTACTGGTTCTTCTGTCCATTCATCCTCCTCAGGTACGCCTTATCCTATAGCACATTATGTGAACTGTCATTCTTTCTCACATGCGCATCAGGTGTTTTTGGCAGCTATTTCATCTGCAGTGGAACCTCAGACCTTTGCTGAAGCTGTTAAAGATGCTCGTTGGCGCATTGCCATGCAATCTGAGATTCAGGCATTGGAGAAAAATAAGACCTGGGATGTTACTACTCTTCCTCAGGGTAAGAAAGCCATTAGTTGTAAGTGGATTTATCGGATAAAGTATCATTCTAATGGGTCTGTTGAGCGCTATAAGGCGCGTCTTGTGGTACTTGGTAATAATCAGGTTGAAGGTATTGACTATAAAGAGACATTTGCTCCTGTTCCTAAGATGGTGACGGTTCGTATGTTTTTAGCTGTGGTTGTTTCAAAGGGTTAGGAACTACACCAAATGGATGATCACAACGCTTTCTTGCATTGTGATTTAGAGGAAGAAGTTTATATAAAGTTTCCTCCTGGTTTTCAATCTTCTGTACCTGGTCAGGTCTGTCGCCTTCGCAGATCTTTGTATGGTTTAAAACAGGCTCCTTGCTGCTAGTTTGCTAAGATGTCCCGCGCTTTGAAACAGTATGGCTTTTCTCAGTCCTATTCTGATTACTCTCTCTTTACTTTACATCGTAATGATACTCATCTTTCGGTATTAGTATATGTGGATGATCTTATCATATCTGGTAATGATAGTTCAGCTATTCTTTGCTTTAAGCAATACTTGAGTGACTGCTTTCATATGAAGGGTCTTGGGGTCCTGAAGTTTTTTTTGGGTATTGAAGTTGCTCAAAATTCCACCGGTTTATTTTGTGTCAACGAAAATATGCATTAGATATTGTCTCTGAGATTGGCTTGTTGGGTGATAAACCAGTGGATTTTCTGTTGGAGCAGAATCACAGTCTTCCACTAGCTGTAGATCAACTATTTTCTGATCCTGAGCGCTACAGGCGTTTGGTTGGTCTTCTCATTTATCTGGCAGTCACTAGACCAGAGTTGTCTTACAGTGTTCATATTTTGTCCCAATTCATGCATCGTCCTATGCAGGCACACTGAGATGCTGCTCTCCGTGTTGTTCGTTACTTGAAGGGTAATCCTGGTCAAGGGATTCTTCTCCGTGCTGATAGTGACTTACAGTGATAGTGACTTCTCCTATTTCTTGGCGGACCAAGAAGCAGCATATTGTTGCTCGTTCTTCTGCTGAAGCCGAGTACCATGCCATGGCTACTACTACTTGTGAGTTAAAATGGTTGAAGGGCTTGTTACGCAGTCTTGGTGTTGCTCACCCATAGCCTATGCGTCTTTACTCTGACAGTCAGGCTGCCCTTCATATTGCCACTAATCCGGTCTTTCATGAACGTACCAAATACATAGAGGTGGATTGCCATTTTCTTCGTGATGCTCTTGTGCAAGGGTTAATTTCGGCTTCTTATGTTTCTACTCATGAGCAGCTAGCTGATATTTTCAAAAAGGCATTGGGTAAGCGCCAGTTTGATTTCTTTCTTGGCAAGTTGGGCATTCGGAATCCCACGCTCCAACTTGAGGGGGGTGTTAGAGACTGTAAATATATAGTCCTTGTAATGTATATTTACTTTGTACAGTTTTACTGAAATCCTAACCGGAAACCCTAGTTGTATAAATGTTATAACGTGATTAATGAAAACAGACTTTTCGACAGTCACGATTTTTGGATGCCGGTCTGTTCAAACTTTGTTAATGTATCCAGGAACTCAAGCTTCTCAAAGAGATGATGTTCTCTGCATAATAGTCTCGATGACACAAAGACATACTAAGGCCGCGAAAATTCTCAAACATTGCAGATGACGATGAAGGATCAATGCGCCTCCCAATCTCCTTGGCCTCGAAATCATACAAGTAAATCGAAGCCGAAAAGTCATGGGAGTGGGATATCAGCAACTTCCCGTTGGGAAGTACTCCCAATGGCAGAAGTGAGGAGTGCTGAGATGGAAGAACAAATTCTTCCTCCAAATCCTAGACAATTTCCGCGGCCTCCTCCCCGGGATTCCTCCAGTTGTTACATCGCACAAACGAAACATGTATCAATCCATGCCTATCAGGGAACCGAGACAGGACAGCTACAGGGCCAAAATGAGGCAGATTATATCTGTCATCAGGCGAATTCGAATTCCAGCCTCAGGGTTTTGGCAAGGGAGTACTTTTAAACTTCTCCAGAGCAACATAAAAAACAAGGAGACGATTACCCCTTATAGTCTCCATCTTCCAGTAAACAACTCCACCTTCTTCCGACCACCCACTCCGACGTAACTCCCCGCCGACACACTCACCTAGATCGAGCTCCCTCAAGGTCATATTTGTTAGAATCTCGCACTTTGAACCATAAGACAAGTAGCCTTGCCAAATCCTAAGCACCTTGTACAATCCAAGAGTTGAATCAAAACCGAGATGGTACCTTTTCTGACAACAACCTTTGTTTGCTGAGACAGGGAGTTTTAGGATTTCGCGAGTGGTAAGGTTATACAGCCAAGAGTGTTTCCTTTAGTAAAAACAAACCAATCCCATCACAACCTCGATCATCCTCCATTGAATTCCTCTGTGGTGGAACGGGTTGTCGTCGTTAAGGAGGGTCCGGCGGTAATCCATAGTGGAGTAGTGACGTATTTTAGCTGTGGGGCCGTCATGAAGGTTGTCAGGAGGGAGGAAAAATAAGTAGGCCTTAATATTATAGAACTCACGGAGAAGAATACCCCAGAACCTCCGCGATAAGCTTTCGTGAAGGATGAATCCGCGATGATTGAACGCCATGTCCTTGAGACGCACTTGAATCGCATCACGGATTTTACGGGAACCCATGTTAGGATATCAGGATGCAATTCCGGAGGGATAAATGGAAGCTCCATTAACACAATCTCGATATCGATTGGGAAGTTGCAGAGGGAGAAGAGCCCTAATTAAGTCGGAGAAGATGATGGTATCGAGTGAAGAGATCGATAAGGGTTAATTGCCAAATCCAAAGGAGAAACATCTCATCTTTAATCAGAAGTAAACCTTTACTTTATAAAGGAGATCATTTTGATCCTTCCATGTAGGGGTGTTAATTTCTTAGACAACGACACGATTTACAGAGACGACATGACACGAAACGACACGACACGATTAACCCGATTTGAGTTTTTATCATATTTTTGGCTCAAAAAAATATTATTAATGTAGTTGGTCCTCTACCGACTACAAATTAAAAAAAAAAAAGAAAAAGAAAAAAAAAGATAAGTCATTCAGTTTGAGAAGCTTAAAAAACCATATCAGTATCACTATACCCAACAGTTTGAGAAGCTTTCTTGATCAGAATTTGGAATCAATGATCTCTTCACTATATCTATTTAATCTACTCATGGTCTTTTCATAAGAAGTCTAAATGGGTGATCTTCACTGTTGCAATTTGCAAATAGATGTTTCTAATCATTTTCACCTTGTATTAGTGGTGATGAAATCATTCTTCACTCTCAGTTAAGGAAATTATAGGAAGATCTAAGAAACTAAGAAACAAGGAACAGAGGATTAAACTCATTATATAATGTCCTACAGTTTTAGATTACCTTCACTGACACAGTAAGGACACGAAATACTGTTGGGAAGCCTCCGAACATTGTAGCAAGTAGTTCAAACATTGTCTTAAACGCAATGATACAATTACTAACAACTTAGAAAGCAATAAATCAAATATCAGAATTGTTACATATCGTTCCGCAAGAGGATGCCAAGCATTTCAAAGGGATGATGTTCTCAGCATAGTAGTTGTAGGGTGTGCAAACCCAATCCCACATCGGTGACGGGAGAGTTCCAAGTTCAATATATAAGTTTAGTGGATTACTCCCTCTATTACCAATTGGTTTTAGAGACTGGAACCCCATTTGAACTTATATCTTGGGCTTGAGGACTGCTGGCTAAGGAAGAAGGTAACCTCCCGCCATCTCAGTCTTCTTCATCTCCTTCATTTCAGGATCATGCAAGTAAATGGGAGCTGGAAAGACATTGAAAAAGTGAGATACGAGCATCCGGAAATCAGAAGTCTCTTCTCATGGATTTCTACAGTTTTGACACTGCAAAATCGAGCCCTGATCCAAGCTCTGTCTCAATCCAGGGAATCCAGACATAACAGCAACAGGCCCCGAATTGGGCAGATAATTCCAGCATTTGCCTTCTGGAGAGGTAGTGATTTGGAACGCTTCTTCAACAACATCAAAAGTAACCAGGCGAACATCTGTCCGCGTCTCTATTTTCCAGTAAGGAATTCCATCTTCCGCCCGCCTACTTCGAGTTCCTGCGAGCATTAACCCTGTAATCGGGCCTGGATCTACATTTTTCCAGGTTAAATCCACCCTGATGGTCAGAATCTTGCACTTTATGCTATCAGAATACCCGCCTTGGCATATGTTGAGCAATTTGTACAGTTTAAGATTGGGATCAAAACCAAGATAAGAATTATTGGGATCCAACCCTTTTCATACACGGCGACAGGGAGTTCCAAGCTTTCACGGGTGGCAATGTTGTAAAGCCACGAGTGATTTGTTCGTCATCCGCCTTCTATCCTCCGGCCACATTGTGTTCTCTTTGCTGCGAGCAACAAGACAGTGATTTACAGTGGAGTAGTGACGAATTTGAGCCATAGAAGTACTGTCATCTTCGTTAAGATGGAGGAAATAAAAATTTAGCCTATCAGAAGGGCTGCCATCAGAGGGGTCACAGAGTAGGAAACCATGGAAACCGCCAGGATAGGATTTTCCGAAGGATGGATCGGTGATTATTGGAACGCCATGTTTTGGAGACGCATTTTAATTGCATTAAAGGCTTCACAGGAAGCCATGCCAGGTTTTCCTGATGTAATTGGTGAGGGATTATGTGAAACGCCATTAAAAAAAAAAAAAAAAGGACAAAAACACCAGCCAAAGGGTAAGAGACGGAGACATATTCTGGGGAATTAGATATGGAACTTTTAGTTTCCAGGTTAAAAAACAAACAAAAACAAAAACAGAAAAGGTACAAAAGGGATTAACTTTTTCTTTGATAAAAGTGAAAGAAGAAGTGGTTGGTAACTTGATACACTACATTTTGAATGATTGATTTCTATGTTTTTAATTGTTTATATCTGTGATTATACCCTTTTTTTTTCTTTTTCTAACAATCATAGTTTACTTCAATTATTTATATACAAAGAAAAGCAAACATTGGTATACAAACATCTGTGCATCTCTTTAAGCAACTCAAGAGATGCAGAAAAGTTGAAGTTGCAATTTTATTCACTACATATGACTCCCCCCATCCATTTGTTACATTTGACAGACCAACAATATCAAGTGATTAGAAATACAGGGGAATATATGTTTCATGAAATTTACAGTTTGCAAATTTATACTGAAACTACATCTGATATTTACACCTAAAATTTAGAACCTTGAAGAAGAATGACTTGCTAAAGGCAAATTAGTTTTTTTCTCACTCTTTGCCTCTAATGCCTTAACCACAACTTGACTTCTTACCGAGTGCTTGCCATCTTTCCATGTCAATGTCCCAAAGACATAAATCTTAGCTGCACCAGGTTGTGTAGCTGAGATTGTGACCGTGAACGTTTTCTCCTCACCGATCTTTGTGAATGTGAGATTTTCCGGCTCAACCTTGATCGACAATCTAGGTGGATTAACAACTTTGACTGTGTAAGTTCCTGGTGAACCAACATTCTTCAGTGTTCTAGTCAATGTGACTGTGCCATTGAAGTTTGGAACAGTGATTGAAGGGTAGTTGAAGCTGAGGAGACTTATTGGCTTGGGACATGTATAAGGGCCGCCAGAAAAATATGAAATCTGGCTTTGGTTATAGCCTAATGCACATAAGAAGTTTAAGTAATCATCAGCTGCTAGATCATACACCAATCCAGGATCCATGGCACGAGTCGGGCGAACCTGCCCTGCCCCATAGCTTAATGGTGTCGCCTTTCGCTTTGTTGCTGCATCTGGGATTGTAGTACCAGCATTATCCCTGGTTCTTGCTGCAAAGAGGCAAAAATGTCAGAATCCTGGTTTTGGATAGAAAACAGAAATGTATGCAGGTGAAAAGAATTCTCAAGCCTGAGGCCTAATAGAACTTGCCGGTTGTCATGATCGCCGATCTGATTGCTGCTGGACTCCAATCAGGATGCAGAGTTTTCAGTAGGCCTACAACTCCAGAAACATGGGGGCATGACATTGAAGTTCCTGATAACATACTAAAGGGAACTTTACGCGTATCAAAAGGTTCGCTAGATACTCCAATAGCCTCGGTAAAAGCAGCAAGAATGTTGACTCCTGGCGCGGTGATATCAGGCTGAGAAACAACCGTAAACACCCTTTTATCATCATTTCAACAATGATAGAAACCAAGAGAAATTCTTAAAGGTGATAGACTAAACCTTAAGAATCTCTGGTGTAATAGTATTAGGTCCCCTAGATGAAAAATCAGCCATCATCGGAGCAGGTTTTATGCCTAATTCGGTTGTTGGAGCTCCGAGAGAAGCCACAGGGGACCTGAAATGCAAGATCATACCAAACGCACAAACATACTTTGAGTGACCGTATTTCCAGGTTTTACTAATGTACAAATTGTAAGAGGGCATCTGTAATAAGGTCTGTTGAAAGACATGAAAGTGGATTTCTTTCTTACTTCGTTGAGGAGAGATAAGCGTAAACGGCAACTCCTTCAGTATAGCCAAGGTTTACAGCAGGAAGGACATGAAAATCAGGAAAGATATCTTCCAAATCTTCCTCGGGATTGACCAGAACCATTCCTACTGCACCAGCTGATGCAGCATTAATGCCCTTCTGTATCCTATCAAATACTCCTCGAAGACAAACCAAGATTTTTCCCTTCACTTTACTCGGATCAAGTGTTCCTGCTGTACAGAGGTCACTGCCAGAACACATAGTATACGATACGAGTATGGTGATAAATTAAATGATTTCTAATAAAAAAAAAAAAATCATACCGCATGAATGAAAAATATATCATAGACAAAGGTATATACATATATATAGAATTCTTACGCGTCGGCAGCTGATGCATTTGCGGCTTTAACAGATTTCCCGTCCACAATTGGATAGTATGAATTAACTGGCAATGTTTTGTCTGAAAAGCTTTGACCCTATATATCCAATCAATCAGGCATATTACTGATTCCATCATAGACAGATAGACTAATGAAAACTAGAAAAAAGGGTTTAAAGAGCAACACTTACTCGAAAATGCAATTTGTTCCCAAGAGTGAGGTAAGAAACAACCTCCCTGTCCATGGTATTTGCTCCAACTGTGATTATCCAGGGTGCTACATTGGAAACAGTGCCGGCATCAGGTCCGCTATTACCTGCTGAGCAAACGACAACAATGCCGTGCTTCACAGCATGAAAAGCACCGATTGAAAGGCCATCTTCATCATAAGAAGCTGCCCCTCCTCCTAGTGATACAGAGATCACATCTACACCATCATGGATCGCCATATCAAAGCCGGCCAAAATATCCGAATCATAACACTGGTTTCCTGATTCCAGTGGAGGACCGCAGACCTTGTAAGCCGCGACTCTTGCTCTTGGCGATCCGCCTTTTGCTGTTCCGTTCGCCATTCCAAATAAACTCGCGCCTGGCACAAAAGTACCACCTGCTGTTGATAATGTATGGGAACCATGGCCTTCGGTGTCTCGTGGCGAGTTGTATGAAGTAGTCATGTTTTGAGACAATGCCACGGAATTATATCCGCCACTGAAGTATCTTGCTCCAATTAGTTTGCTTCATTAATGAAAAAATTGGTAACATGTCAGAGAAATCCTAAATTTATAGTGATGGTTCGAACAAAATGTTGGACTTAAAATGGTGACCTATTGCATTTGAAGGTGGCATCATTTTCATTTTCACAACCACCTTTCCACTTTGCTGGAATTGGTCCATATCCATCATCACTGAAGCTTTTTGATTCAGGCCATACACCTGGTTCATTTCCAATCCAAAAGCAGATAAAAAGAAATGTTAACTATGAAGAATTGGTCCCAGAAATACAATGGCACTTTGTTGAACTAGAACAAAAGGGTCTGTGAGACAAAGAAATAACTCGAGTAAAAAATCCCAAAAATACAATCCAATTTTGTTGAACTGTAACAGAGGGAATTAGCTGAGATAATGAAAAACAAACTTGCCAGTGTCAAGGGTGGCGATTATGGTGTCTTCACCAAACCTTGCTTTGCTCCAAGCCGAGGTTTTCTCGATTGTGCCGCCATTACTTTCAAGTCCCAAAAATTCCCAGGATCTGGTTGTTTGTAGTTTCCTTCCTTTGTTCAGGAACACGGAAACAACCTCCGGATGTTCTACATTATAGGATTCAACATAAAACATTTTAAGCATCTGAAAACAGGATCAGGAAGAAGCATTATATAGGTCATTTTAAATTGCTTACTAGCTATCTCAGCTGCTTCTGCATCATCAAGTACTGCTGCAAAGCCATTGATATATCTTGTATAACAATATATGATTGACTCTTCAGCCTTTTGTTTGCTGTTACATGTTGCAAGTTTAATTTTTAAGCAAGTAAATATTTGTGAAATCATCATCATCACACCAACCAACCAAAAAAAAAAAAAACTTACCTTCCCAAGAATGATCCAAGGAAGGTATAATGATCGTCTCTAACTTTATTATAATCAAATTCTGTGACTTCAAGGTTGGGTTGACGCGAATGAGCTCCCAAGTACACCACATAAGACTAATGATTGATCATATGTTGCCAACACAAAAAGAAAAACAGAATCATCAGACCATTGAAATCTTATGTAGAATATTAATGTTGAGCTATTCTATAAGATAGATGCTAACCTTTTTGGAAGCTAATGTGGTTCCAAAAAATGATGAGAAAACAAGTGAGAGGAAGCAAATGGTAGAACCAAAAGTTCTCATTGTGGTAGCTGACATTTTTCTGGGATGTTGTTTCCTTTTAGGCTTTTTATCAAGCCTAATAATGTATTATGTTCTTCTTTTTCCTCTCCAGGAGAGGAGTTCATATATGTTGACGACGGGAAACGCTTAATGAACGTTTAGTGTTCTGCATGTCTTGAATGTACGTACTTGGATAAAACTGTCACTATTCTTTTTTTTAAAAAAAAAAAAAAGAAATGAGGAAATGAAGGAGGAGACATTCAATATTAACTGTTTTTTTTTTTTTTTAAAAAAAAAGACTTCATCTCATAATTCCATTTTTGGAGAAAATGACCTGGTGGTCAACTTAGATTACCCGAGTGCTTCTATTACATCCACGCACGATTGAGGTCTGATCTTCTAGCATATGTATATTTTTTATTCTTTTTTTTTCCCCCTTTTTGTTACAGATAAATAAAGAGCCAGCCATGGCCAACCTAAACCAGTCAAATTAACAATTAACAACAACAATTATTATGTTACAACTATGATTTGACTTTGGCTGCTGGTGAAACCTCCAGCCTTTGCAAGTCCCCACTTTCCTATTATACTTTAACAGTATCATACTTTAACCTCAGGAAAGCATTAATCTAGAGGCACTTATATTTAAAAACAACAAGGCCACGAGAACTAAAAACAATTACACCAAGGATTTTGGTTGTAGAATTTATCTCACAATAAATATATATATCGCCATTCTCCACAACGCAAAACATTGTTTAGAAAGAGAATGAGAGATTGAAACTTCATGGACATTACGTATAAATTAATATGGATTTGACTTGCCAGGCTCTGTGTTTGATAATCACATTTTTCTACCATTTCTTGTATTTAAACACTAAATAAGAGAGTACCCGTTTGATATATAATCACTACCTAAAAGTATTAACGAAAATGAATTGGTGTGCTAATAGATTACTAAATGATTAATTTGTTGCTCCCGTATACTAATTTATATTAACGATTTGTTTAATTAAGTGAAGCAATTCCTTCGTAAGCAATGAAATATACTCTTTGTCCTAAAATGATTGTTTTATTTAAACTTTTATTTTTAGTGTAATTTAAACGAAAAATTAAGATCCAAACTGGATAATTATTTTGGCATGGAGTGAGTAATGATATTACGGAGTCAAGTTTTCTTAGTTTGAATAAACAAATAAAGAAGAAAGTACTTAACAATAACTTTGCAAAGACTAAGAATGAGGATAGTAGACTTTGTAACTAGTAACGTTACTGGAAAACATTATATATAAGTATAACGGATCCATGGATTTGTTCTTTCATCAGATCGTAGAACATTGAAGTTGAATTTTATGTAGAGAAGCTTAGTTAAGAAAATGGCAAGATTCTTGCTCGATCGTCATCATCATCATCAAGCTTCAGGTTTTTTGCAGCACAGGGGATCAGGGCTCTTGCTTATTGTCGGCATGATCGTTATGTCTGTTTCGATCCTCTCTCTCGTTGTCTTTGGTTGTGCGACACGTCGTCGTCCTCCAAAGAAAACGAGAAAACGAGGATCGACTTGTTGTGGCTGTTGTGGTTGTGGTTGTGGGGGTACTGGCGATGGCGGAGCTGGTTGCAGTGGCGGTGGTGGTTGCGGTGGTTGTGGCGGTTGTGGTGGCTAAATGATATTCCGTTACAGTCACGTTACTCACTGCAGATATATCTTCGAGTAGTATTGTACGCACTTTTTTAATCCCAAAATAATTGTTCAGTTTGAGTTTTTATTTTTAATATAATTTATACTCTTTATGTCCTGTAATAATTATCTGATTTAAATTTTTACTATGCAAACATAAATTGTACTCCCTCCGTTCCAAAATTATTGTCCATATACTTCCTCCATTCCAAAATTATTGTCCAGTTTAGCTAACATGGTAAATTTTATTTTTAGTCAAACTTGACAATATTTTAGCTTGAACTTTCGAATATACCTGCATACATAATTTGTTTAACCAAAAAACATTTTATAAATTCATAACCCAAACTCCCTATACTTCTTTCTCACACTATCACCGGAATTAAAAAACGAACCCCAATTCAACTGCAAGAGCATCACCTTCATTTGTAATTCGCTCATACACCTATAATCAATCCAAGTTTTCAGATGAAGAATTTCATTTTGGGAGAATCTTCGTACACTAAGTTTCAATTTGGTGTTTAGAAAAATAATTCTATTCATCGGAGGCTTCATTGCTTGTATGGCTCGGACGGAGTTCTTCAATGCTTGTTCCAATCGAAATTATTAGTTCAATTCGATGTTCCTCCAAACCATTATTATATCTGGCGGAATTTCTTCTGTTGACATTTAGAAGAAGCTCAAAAATGAGCCGAAAAGAAAATTATGACATGGAAACTGCCAGAAGAAATTTAATTTGTAATCCGATATTCAGTTTCAGAAAGGAAATTAATGACATGGTCATTTTGTATGAAAATTGATGGTCATTTTGTATGGATTGCTAGTCACCGCCGCTTTTGAGCCGTCCATTCGGTGCTGCTGTGTGTTCACATCCACGTGTTGTTTATACAATAGTGGATAACCGGATTCAAGTCAATAGTTAATTTTGAATGAAGGTTAAAAGTGTAATTTAATTTATAAAAAGTCAAATCGGACAATAATTTTAGGAAAAAAATTTTTTGGTAAAGTGGACAATAATTATAGAACGAAGGGAATATAGAAATATAAATAGTAACTGGACAATCATCATAAAAAAATATTAAAACTAAATATTCAATTCGAACAATAACCTCAGGACAGATAAAGTTTTTTTTTTCTTTTTGAAAAATGAGGACAGATAAAGTGAGTAACTACCATAGTTTTCACAAAGTCACATAATTAGGACGATTTATCTTTACGGTGATAATCCATGTATTTGATGAGTTCTCAAATCTAACGTAGAAGCTAAATATTCCACCTATTTCAAAATAATACTTTCTCCGGTTCAAAATAATTATTTAATTTAAATTTTCATTTTCAGTATTAAAAGAAAATATTCAAACTGGGCAATCATGTTATAATAGATGGCATCAATCTCATAAGTCATAACAAAGTCAGACCTTATTGGGGGATAAAATGTACCTTTCCGTCAACTTTCATAGCACAACGTATTAGTCAATAAGATCCAAATATTCCATCATAAAATATCTCGAGTCTAATTTTTAGAAATGTTTGTATACACGATGCAATCAATGTTTTAGAAGTTGGAGCCATTTCTAACTGGTACCTTAGGTATAAAATTGAAGGCAAAAATGTTTTGAGAAGAAGTGAAAACTGCATAGTGCTTAATACTCCCTCTGTCCCATAATTATTGTCTAGTTTTACTAAAATAAAAGATTTTATTTTTAGTCAAACTTAATTATATTTTACCTTGAACAATCGGATATACCCTTACATAAGTAATTGTTTAGCCACAAAGATTTTATGGATAATGTTTTTTACTGATGAAAAATGTGTAACTTGATCCATAAAAAGTCAAATTGGATAATAATTTTGGGACAATTTGAGCAAAGTGGACAATAATTATGGGACGGAGGGAGTACATTTTTTTTTTTGTGTATATGTTATACTACATATTATAATAGTCCTTAATACAATAGTCTAACAGTTTTATTTCAATTTGACTTCATCATAGGGAGTGAGTGATTATATATATAATAAGTTTTACGCAAAACAAAATTTGTTATTTAGTGAGGAGAGATTGATATGTCAGGTTAAAGAAATTTGCCGCAAAGGGACCGCAGGATGAGCTTTGACCGGTTCAAGAAGGCTCATGACATGTTCAATTTGGTCAAGTCAACCATCCTTGAATATTAAACAAAAAAATACTAGCAAAAGATCTTATGCCACATCTTCTGTCTTACATTTCTTGTATTGCGATGCCGATGCTAGTTTTACACTCCTCACCTTCTAGAGAAAAAAAGTCCGCCTCGAATTTTTAAATTTATGTTGTTTTTATTATATTCCATCCGGTCTTTAATATAAAACATTTTGATTTATCCTATGTTTAATAAACTATGTATTTTTAGCTGACAAAAAAATTTTAAAAACATTTCATAACAATCAAGAGAATATAACGAATATAAAGATATATTTTTTAAGGTTTTTTTGCCAATTAAAAATGCGTACTAGGTGAAATCTAGGACGAAATCAAAATGCCTTATATTAAGGACCGGAGGGAGTATATCTTAAAAATTAATATGGATTATTTTCTTGAGACATTACCTTATACATGTCGTCTAGTCAATTTATTGTGGCTTATTTACACTTTGGTTAATTTGGATATTTATATTACTTTAGACACGGTTTGTCAAATGAAGTATATACATTTTTTGTAACAAAAAATTCAATTCCAAAAAGCACGTCCACAACAGACACCTTCCCGGATATGTACGAATGGCCGCATTTTAAGTAAGAAATTACAAATTAGGAAGGTTCAAATGAACTATAGATTTGAAGCAGAAAGAAAGAATCAACAACGTAATCCTCCGGTACAAGTAATTGCCTGAGTTGACCAAATTGAATAAATTGTGAAACGTTATATATAAATAAGCATAGATATAATATATACATGCATTAGTTTGCTAATTCACCAAAGCCGTAATTCAGAATCAAGTATAATAACAGTAGAAGGAGATTCATTAGCAAAAATGGCAAGATTGTTAATTATGAGATCTCTTGGCCAGATGGCAACAAATAATCATCGTCATCAAGCTGGTGTTTTGCAGAATGAGGGTTCAGGGATCATCTTCATCATCGGCATGATTGTTATGTCCGTTGCAATCCTGTCTCTCGTCGTCTTTGGTTGTGCTGATGGAGCTCGCCGACGTCGGAAGAGACATGGAGGAGGAGGAGGTTTCGTTGGTGGTTATTATGGTGGTGGTGGTGTTTACACCGGAGGAGGTAGTACTTGTGGAGGAACAGCTGGCGGAGGAGGTAGTGCTTGTGGAGGAGGTGGTGGAGGAGGCGGAGGTTGTGGTGGTGGAGGCGGAGGCGGCGGGGGCGGTGGTTGCGGAGGTGGAGGTGGAGGTGGCGGCGGTTGCTAAATGAGACTATCAGAGTACATTGATGCCAGTTTTGAGGAGCTAACTCATGCATGGATATGCTTATATATATTTTGAGTCCTCGTTCCTTAGACATATGGAGTTGGCTTTAAATCCATATTCTTCTACGTACTCTAATTGTACAATAATTAATATTCCATCCATTTATGTAGCTGATGAAATGCATATGAATTGATAGGGTGTATAAATTTTGGTTTTGTAATAATGTATAAATATCTCTACTGTAAAATTAGTAGGAAAAAATTGTTACCTAATTATACCAACATGATATTGTAGTAGTTTATTATCAATACTATAGTTTTTTTTTTTTTTTTTTTGGTTTTATTAGTTAGATGGCTTTTAGGCGTTGAGCCCTCATATCTAAATCTTAAACACAAAATGTCGTTTTTTTTTTTGGTTAAACAAGATAGTGAACTTAATTCGTTAGCTAGTATGCTAATTTCATGCATTAAAAACGTTGATAAAAAATTTGTAATGCCACAATCAAATATTTGCGAAATTGTTTTATGTCAAAGCAACCAATCAACTCTGGAAAGGCCTTTTGGTGGTCTCTACCAAATATTTCAGACCAAGAAGATAAAAATTATGTAGCTTATGGAATCTTTTCAGAATTTAAATTCTTCGCCATGACCACTTTTGTCCGGTGAAGTACCTATTTTATTGATAAAGGTAGCTAGTAGCTACCATGCATCATGTATGCATGGCTCACGTATTTGAGCCACGGCCAAGTCATTTTGATTTCGTCTTAGGTTTCATCTAGCACGCATTTTTAATTGATAAAAAAGTCATTAAAAATATATTTTTATATTCGTTGTATTATCTTGATTGTTATGAAATATTTTTAAGATTTTTTTTACCAATTAAAATTACGTACTAAATTAAACATAGGATGAATCAAAATGTCTTATATTAAGGACCGGAGGGAGTATATTTTGAATCCGAAAAGGAGAGATATATATATATATATATATTATATAATATTTCTTATACTATGTTCTTAATTACCTGATGAGCTAATATGTAAATTCGGATATGATTACGATAAGGAGTTGGCTCAATCTTATTAGTTTGTAGATTAAATAACTTTTTTAAATAAAAAAAAAATTATGACTTATCTATAGGAACGTTATCACGTAAACCTATCACACACGTAGTACATTACATCTGGTACCCACAAGAATTCATAATGTGAAATAATTAGGGACTAGGACAGGATATATTGGAAACTGAAGCAATTATACGAGTTTCCTGAAAAAGCAAAAATATTGAAACATTCCTGCATGCATTTGATAAAAAGAACCAACTCAGGAGATTGCACAAGAGATTTGCTGAGAAAGTACAACATATACTGAATTCATAAATGAAATGCAAACAGAAGTGAATTATGAACATTCATGGCTGAACGTTGTATATACCAAAAAAAAAAAAAAGAAGAAGATATGGATTTTGCGTGTAAGACAAACTGATCATAATGTCCAAACGTTCAAAAGAAGGATATTTTGTTTACGCGCTAAAAAAATTGTTAAATTAGTTCTTATGTTCTAAAAAAGATAGTACTCCTTATGTCTCAAATTATTATCCAGTTTGGATTTTTAGTTTTTATACAAATTGAACTAAAAGTAATGAAGTCAAGGAAAAAAAAAACAAAAAGTGAAAATTTAAGTTGGACAATAATTTTGGAACGGACGGGAAGTAATTCACATTTACAATAGAGAAGGCTGAGTGATAAATTTGCTGTGCATAATTCAAAAAAAAAAAAATTTCCTAAAAAAAATGACTACAAGCTTCGCACGGAAAGGTAAAGAAATTACTTCGTAAAGAGACAAGCTTTGAGTGAGCCAGACTTGGTCAAGTCAATATCAACGGTAGACAATAGACATGATCCACGTCTACTTAGCAATTTATAATCCTTCTTCAATCCGATTATCCAAGAAAATGTCCTAAAATCTGAAATTTCCAAGAATTGATCGATATTGCAGAATCTATTCTTCTACATACAGACAGACAGACAACAAGTACGTACCTGGATATTTACAAATGCCGACATATTCAATTAGTATAATTAAAACTCAAAAAAATGTTCAAACTAGCTGATGCATGTAGAGAGAATCAACCACGTAATCGTCGGGTACAAGTAATTAAGTTGACCAATAACGGTCAACTGAAGAAACTAGAAATAAGTACTTGTATGAAGACATTATAAATACGTGAAGAAATTATATGCTTGCATTTGATACTATATATACTACATTTAATCAGATATCACGGAGGAGGAGAGGTTAATTAACTAGAGCAAAATGGCAAGATTGTTGTCTATGAGAGCTCTTGGGATGGCTGCAAATCATGGTCATCATCATCAAGCTGGTGTTTTGCAGCATGAGGGTTCCGGGATCATCTTCATTGTCGGGATGATTGTTATGTCTGTTGCAATTCTGTCTCTTGTCGTCTTTGGTTGTGCCGATGGAGCGCGTCGACGTCGGAAGAGACATGGAGGGTTCGTCGGTGGATATTATGGGGGTGGTGGAGGTGGTGGTGCTTGCGGCGGTGGCGGCGGTGGAGGAGGTTGCGGCGGTGGTGGAGGTGGCGGTGGAGGTTGTGGCGGTGGCGGCGGTGGTGGCGGTTGCTAAAATGTGTTTGTCATCCTAGTTCCGGCATACACCGTCCAAGATATATATTTTTTTGAGTATTATACGTGCTCTAGTCCAATTAAATTTGCCTGCACTGTATAATATATAGTTTCATCCATACTACGTTTAGAAATTAGGTCTGATAAATCTTGTACTCTTACAGATTTTCCACATGTGTAATTCATGAGGTGCGTGGGAATAGCCGAATAGGGCATGTATATACATATGACACCAAATCATTATGTAGTACATTTGTATGTATTGAAATATCTGAGAGAGTTGATGGAGGTAGGGGTTCTGATCACCCACTACGTTTTTTCATAATTAATAATGTATGCTAAAATTCGAGTAAAAATTGGTGTGATTAGTTGTTTTTTCGCCTACTTTAAATATGTTGTACTTTTTCTATTGTACTAAAAGTAAAAATTTAAACTAAAAAATTAAAATTGGACTATAATTTCGGACGCGAGGAGTACTATGATTAATTGTCTTAATGAAGATTTCGCGCCTCCTTCTCAATTCTTGCCCAAGCATTGAGTGAGGACAGTAGCCATGAAAGAAACCCTCATCATATGCATGGCTAATGGATAATTTTAGCTTGTTAGTTACAAATTAATTATAGTAAAATAACTTGAATTCATTAGCTAGTTAATAAATGCTTCCATCTTAATATTTTTTAGATATAACAAAAGATGTAAAGTCTAAATACAAATAGATTAAGAGGTGAGTTAAATATTTTTTGCGTTTAAGAGAGGTTGGCCAAACATGGGCATCGAGAATCTTACGGAGATATGTTAAACCCTACAAATCATACCCTAATTATAGTGAATCTCTAATCACAGGAATCCCTCCGGACCATGATGAGCGTATTATTGACTAGTATTTAGATGAACAATTCCATTAAATGTATGAAATGACATCGCTCGAACTTCAATCAACTAGAATTAAAGGTTTTTTTGTACCCAAAAAAAAAAAAAAAAGAAAGAAAAAGAAGCCATTTTCTGTTACGTTGAATGAGATATATTGTCCCAATCAATCTGAAAACGCCATTTGATCTTTATCCATTGTGGAACATAAAGATAATAACAAGTGTGCAGCTAAATGGATTTTTTTCTCCAGAACTATAATTCTTCCCCATGGCCAAATTGGCCACGCATGTTTTGTAACTATTAGAGCAAAGCTCTCTCGTATGTGACAACTTCTAAGAATTTTGAATACATTTTTGAGGGGCCAACTGCATACTAATTGGCAAGTTTCCTTTTGTTCTTATTTTGTTCAAACATAGAGATATCTTTTCCCCCCTTCATTCCAAATTTCTTAAAAAAGTATGAATTTTGTATTGGAGAAACAAGTTGATCTTCTTTTTTTCTTGAAAATAGAATGGAAAGAAACTGTTGCATTTGTATCATGCAAATTTATGATGGGAATAAAATTCGTGAATTTTCTTACTAAGGTTCTAAAGGTCTTTATTACTTAAATATATTAGATTCATTCACCTTTTCGTGAAGTGGGAGTTTGTAATAGATATAACTTGATTCCCAATTAATTGTTTATCCTCGTTTTTGAGAGTGAAGTTCTATAATTTCAACTTTAAATAAAATATTGATTCATTTCCATTCGAGTTTAAAAAAACACTTATATCTCAGCATTTTTTACAGGCTAAAGTTAATTATACGCACTCTCAAGTCCTAATTACCTTTCTAATCTAGCTACACGTCAAGTCCCAGCACAGTAGTTGGACATTTGATGGGCAAAAAAGGCGTCGTGATAGTAAATTAAATTTTTAACCGTCATTTTATTTTTTACATAGTTGTGCATATACCTGAAAATAGACATAAAGCTTCAACAACAAAAAAAAGAAAAAAAAGGAAGAAAAAAGAACATGATTAGTAATAATCTGTTGACACTAGTTGAGCGAAGAGATCCTCAGCCTATCAACCTGTTACTAATCGGGTCTGTAAGTACTTTATGCTTTCTTCTGTGATGATGACAAATAATTTGTTATAATTAGTAATTAAGACCGACAACGTCTTAGAGCAGAGGATCATTCATTCCAAACAGTTTTTAGCAAGTTGACTAAAAAAAAATTAGCAACCGTATTGTTATAAATTTTACTAATCATTCACGAACTAATAAATAAAACCGATATTGCATGTTACATTACATTACAATTTACAAGAGTCCACGAATTGTTTTCCATTACTTGGGACCATGATACACATTCTTAGATTTCTGCCCACTTCAAGAACTGAAAACAACCAATTGTCCTAAATGATGACGATGTTACAAAATGCTTTAATTGGAGACTTGATTATCATTATCATTAGTTTTTAAGGTTTAAACTACTTACTTCCAGCCAGCAGTTTTACTGAAGATGACAAATCAATTTGCATTTATACACAATATTTTCATTTTGAAATGGCGTATTCAATTGTTAAACGGTATAGAATAAAAGCGGGTAGACGACTGTGGAAAGACAATAACCGTATTCCTACGCATGTTTGTTCTTAGATTGGCTAAAGAAGTTTTTTAACTTTATTTAAGAACCTTCTTTACCAAAAAGAAAAAAAAATTTATTTAAGAACCATCAGTTTTTAGTTCTTAGTTCTAAACCTTTTATATACTCCTTCTGTCCCAAAATTATTGTCCAATTTAAGATTTCACTTTTAGCACAATTTGAACTAAAAATGAAAACTCAAGCTGGACAATAATTATGGGACGGAGGGAGTATTAATTAACCATAAATAGTTCCAAAGTACTTCGTAAAAGGTAATTAGCTTTGACTGACACGCCATATGTTCAACTTGGTCAAGCCATCCCTACTTGAATATTACTTACAGAAGAAATAATTATTCCTTCCATCACAGTCATATGAGACAGAGGAACATTAACAATTTTCTCGTATAGCAATACTAGTGATGTCTGGTTGCGCGACCCTGGCCCAATCTATCTGTAGATTTTAGAAATGTTTATATTTGAAAAAAATAAAATTTTGTATTTGGAACGATATATTTTAGAAATGTTTGAAGGATTTAGAAATGTTTTATAAGTGTGATCATAGAAATATTTGTATTTCGCAAAAAAAAAATAAATTGTATTTCGCCATGTATGTTTTAGAAATGTTTTATAAGTGTTACTTATTAAATATAAATAGCTTAATCGAATATATGTGTTGAAGTAAATGTTAGATAAAATATAAAAGCATCCTAATAAATTTAAATATTAGTAAGATGATTTATTGATGTTCTCCATTGGTCGTGTCAAATCAATACTTAGTTTTGGAGATTTTTAATAGCTTTGTAATAAGCTTCATTCAAAGGGTATACGCTTAAAACAAAATTGACACTTTGTAATAAAAAACCTAATTGATCAATTCAATTTAAAAAACCACTCTAGTTGAATGAAACATAAAGAAAAAATTAAAAAAAAAAACGTGTCACGTAAAGTGCAAAGGGAGATTTAGTAATTTAGTTATGGTTAGGCAAAAAGACAATTTAATATTTTCTACATATCACGTGGCAATCATATGAGATGTTTGAAAGGGAGGTTTTTGTTTCTAATATAGCAAGATATCAACTACTTTAGGCATCGACGTGTACTTATCAATTTATAATCCTTCTCAATTCACTCCGATCATCCGATGAAATTAACTTCCTAAACTATGAAAATTCCAAGAAGTAATATTGTAGAATCTATTTTTCCACATTACGGACGGACCAGACGTTCCCAGATATTTACGAATGGTGGCATATTCAATTATTCCTCCGGTCTTTAATATAAGATATTTTTATTTGTCGTCAATTTTACCTAATACATATTTTTAATCGAAAAAAACTTTAAACCTATCACCTAAATATCAAAAGAACACAATAAATGTGAAAATATATTTTTAAACTTGTTTTCGATTAGAAATACATAATAAGTGGAACTTACGACAAATTAAAATGACTTATATTAAGGACCGGAGAGCAAGTGATTAAAAGAATGTTCAAACTAGCCGATGTAGAGAGAAACAACTACGTAATCGTCCGATACAAGCAATTAAGTTGACCAATAACGGTCAACTGAAGAAGCTACAACCTACAACTACTTTGTGTGAACACATTATAAATATGTGAGGAAAATATATGCTTGCATTTGCTCCTATAGACTATATTTCATCAGATCGTAAAAGAAGAGGTGAATTAACTAGAGCAAAATGGCAAGATTGTTATCTATGAGAGCTCTTGGGATGGCTGCAAATGATCATCATCAAGCTGGTGTTTTGCGTCATGATGCTTCCGGGATCATCTTCATTATCGGGATGATTGTTATGTCTGTTGCAATCCTGTCTCTCGTCGTCTTTGGTTGCGCCGATGGAGCGTCTCGACGACGTCGGAAGAGACATGGAGGAGGTGATGGTGGCGATGGCGGTGGTGGCGATGGTGGTGATGGCGGCGGAGGCGGTTGTGGTGGTGGAGGTTGCGGTGGTGGCGGCGGCGGTTCCTAAATGTATTCGTCGTCATAGTTTGGACCTTACGCTGTCCAAAACATATCTTGAGTATTCAACGTGCCCTATGGTCCAATTAAATTTGCCTATGTTAGTTTATGAAGTTTTATGAAGTTTCATCCATACGTTGAGCCATTAGGTTTGATAAATCTTCTACTTTCTCTGACCCAAAATTATTATTTGGTTTAGAATTTTTTTTAGTTCAAATAATTAGAATTTTATTTTTAATTCAATTTAAATTAAAAATAAATTTCTGAACTAGACAATAATTTTAGGATAGAGAGAATATTAATTTGTCGCATATGTAATTCATGATGAGGTGCACAGGGATAGTGCATGACTTATACACATGATACCAAATTGTTCTGTAATTTTGTACTACCTTCGAGGCATTTTTTATTTGTTTTTATTTAATATATTTTTAAGATTTTATTTTTAACTAAAAGAACATATTAAATTAAGTTTTGAACAAATCAAAATGACTTATAATAAAGATTTTAAAGTTGATGGAGCTAGGGGCTTCGTCCCACCTACTCCATTTTTCTATGATTAATAAAATCTGCGAAAATTTTAATTAAAAATATTTGTATGATTAATTGATTTTTGCGACTCGACTTTCAATATATTGTACTTTCATTCGTTGTCTTTGTAAATTTCGCACTTGAGTCTGGAGTGTAGCCGTAAAAGAAGGTTAATTAATTGGTTATACTCTCTGTATGTGTTTTTAAAAAAATTTGTACTAAAATAACAAACATATAAAAATTCAATGTGAATAATTTCTTTAAGAACGGAGAGTGTATTACATTAGTCTTGTCAGATACGTATTCCCAATGTCCAATTTAAATTTTCGTCACTTTTAGCTCAATTTGTACTAAAAGTGAAAATACTAACTAGAGTATCATTCGGACGGAGAGAGTATAATCACAGTACCCCAGAGTTTCATGGATATTTTCAAATGCACAAAAACTAAAATAATGTTGATGAGTGCGCTATATTTTGGATATAATGAAAGTGGGTAAAATTTAAATATGACTAAATTAACGTATTACGGAGATGTGTCATCAATCTACAATGTTTCAATCACAATTTAACCTAGTAGTGAATCTCTAAGCACTGCAAGTCTGCAATTCCTCCGGGCCATAATGATGAGCGTACTATTGACTATTTATTAGAGATTAAACTCTATTAAATGTATGAAATGACATCGTTCGAACTTCAATCAACTAAAATTAAAGGCCTTTTTTTTTTTTGTACCCAAAAAAAAAAGCCCAAATGAGAATATGAGATATATTGTCCCAATCAACCCGAAAATGCCATTTGATCTTTATCCATTGTGGAACATAAAGATAACAAGTGTTCAGCTTATGGTTTGGTTTTGTTTTGTTTTTTTTTTTTTTCAGAATTATAATTATTCTTCCCCATGGCCAGTTGGCCACACATGTTTTGTACCTATTAGAACATAGCTCTCCTTTGTGATCACTTTTAAGTAGTATTAATTTTGAATAAATTTGAGGGGCAACTGCATACCCCAATTGCCAAGTTTAATTTTGATCTTTGTTTTTTTGTTCAACACAGAGATATATTTTGCCACCTTCGATTCTATGAAAGTATGAATTTTGTATGGGAGAAGTCCCTCCCCCCAATATGGAATGCAATATTGAAACTGTTGCATTTGTACCGAACAATTTGGTGAGAATTAAATTCGTGATTTTTTATTGAGGTTCTAAATGTCTTTATAATTACTTAAACTGAGGTTTATTTCTATCTGAGAAAATGTTTTTAATTCCTCACTGAAGCTGAAAATGATTAGGATATAAGCTGTTGGCACAACCTGTTACCAATTCGGGTCCGTTAAGTGCTTCATGCTTTCTTCAGTGATGATAGTAAGAATCACAACGTTTTAGAAGAGGATCATTCCAAACAATTATTAGCAAGATGACTGAAGAATAAGCAAACGTATTGTTAATTTAGTAATCATTCACAAACTAGTAAAACCGATATTGCATTATACTCCCTTCGTCCCACAAAAATAATCCATATTAAGTTTTGAGTATTGTACTACTTTTAGTACAAATTTAAAAATTCAATGTGAACTATTTTTTCGGGACGGAAATAGTACTACTTCATTAGTAAGAGGTCCACGAAATGTTTTCCATTACTGGGAACCATGACACACACATTCTTGGTTTCTGCCCACTTCAAGAACTGAAAACAACCAATTGTCCGATACGATAACGATGTTATAAAATGCTTTAATTGGAGTATCAATATGATTATTTTTTTAAGGTTTAAATTTAAACTACTTACTTCCAGCTAGCAGATTTACTGAAGGTGACAAACCAATTTGCATTTATACACAGTATTTTCATTTTCAAATGGCGTATTCAACTGTTAAAACGATGTAGAATAAAGCGTAGGTAGACGAACTGTGGAAAGACAATAACCGTATTCCTACGCATTTTTGCTCTTAGATTGGCTAAAGAAGTTTTTAACTTTATTTAAGAACCATCAGTTTTTAGTTCTAAAGACTTTTCTATATTAACCATAAATAGTTCCAAAGTTAGGCCACTTTTCAGAGGAACTTCAATAGAGCCGCCATTAGAGAAGAAAAAGAAAGCACAGAACCATCTTCATTTTAGCCATGGTTGAAGTGGTTGAAGGCAAAGAAGAGCTGATCGCTCCATTACTTACAGATGCTCCACAATCATCATCTGGGAAGTCCCATAAATCCTTGAAAAGAACTGGTTAGTCCAAAAAAGAAATGATTTTTGGTCGACTCTGCCAAGTGTACTACTATATAGTCTATATTTCTGTTGAATCCGAATTCATTTTTTTTAATTATTTTAATCTCTGTACTGGCACTCAAATTTTGGTTTTCTGGGATTATATAATTTGACCTTTTTTGTTGACCAATACCTTTCAGTATCTAAGTTCTTAGGATAGTTTGTCTATTTTTATAATCAAAGTTCTTTCTTTTATTCACAGAAAGTCTGAAGCTTTTTATCTTTTGTTTTGATGAAATTTTGAAGGGACTGTATGGACTGCAATAGCCCACATAATAACTGGAGTAATTGGTTCTGGAGTGCTATCACTGGCATGGAGTGTGGCTCAGCTTGGATGGATTGCAGGGCCGATGGGCATTATTATTTTTGGAGGAATTGCTATTCTCTCTTCAATTCTACTGAGTGATTGCTACAGATATCCCGATCCTGAAGTTGGGCACATCAGAAATAAGACATATTCTCAAGCTGTGAACACCTACTTAGGTGACCAAATCTACTGTCTTCACTCTTTATCTTTACATTGATATCTGTTGGTTTGTGTGGATATCTGCTAATGTAGACTATAATCATCCACCTTTGCTGTTTACTACTAGTTTAGTTTGCATGAATAGAATTGAATACAACCTGTTCCAGTTGGATGGTAGACTTTGTCGTAATGTGATGATGTACCTGATATTAAGTGAAGATAGAAATGCAATACATCAAAATCTTATAATGTATTTTTGCATAAATTCTGTTGCTCTGTATTTTAGTTCATTTTCGGTGTGATCATGGCTTTTGATCGACGGCAAAGATTACACCTATGCTTAAAACCTTTCTTTCCTTTGTCTAGATTGAAAACCTAAGTATTTGAAAGGAACCGCGTTGGCATTCATAAATTGGGCTTTCTCGTGTATTTGTGTAATATTCCGAGTATGTGACAGAGCAATATACATTTAGAAGGAATTGACGAAAAAATTTTATTTTAAAATCCAAAAGATCTTCTCCTGTTTCTATGCTTCAAGCAATGGTTTATTAGCTGTGACAGTTCAGACAAATTACGTTTTCAGGAAAGAAGAGCATGTGGGTATGTGAAACATTTGTGCAGGAAAGCTACTATGGATATGGAATTGCATACACAATAACTGCAGCCATTAGTATGAGGTACTGGATGTCATTATTCTTCTCTCCTAGCTGTTTTTCTGTCTTCTGGAGCCCATATTACCCAACTCCCTTTGGCAAATAAAATGTAGTCTAGATTGAACATCTATATTCACAAACTCAAATATTTACTTCAAGACTGCAGTGGTTTTCTAGGCTTTTGTGAATCGGGGACTTTATTTTCTCATTTCTGTATTAAAATTCTTGTCTTTGTCATAATTGATAGCACTAAATGCATGGAAGATATGCCACCCAATGTACACACAGTAATATCAAGCTACTCTCCTGCTTTGTCTTATTACCTGTTCAAGCAATATATATCATCATCATTGAGAAATATTTTAGTTGACTGAAAAGTTTGATTTGATGATGTCAGCGCAATCCAGAGATCAAACTGTTTCCACCAGGAAGGGCATAATGCTCCATGTGAGTTTGGAGATAGATTCTATATGCTGTTATTTGGAGCAGTTCAGATTCTGTTCTCTCAGATACCCAACTTTCATGAAATGGAGTGGCTCTCAGTCATTGCTGCTATAATGTCCTTTGCATATACCTTTATAGGAATGGGGCTTGGTGCAGCAAAAGTGATAGGTATGTTTCACAATCAGCATTTTTGTATCACTTAGATGTCCTTGGTTTATGTGAAATAGTTTCAGAACCCATAAGAGTGCAGTGGACGAGTATAAGACCAAGTCTATTGGGATCACAAGGGAAGCAATGCTGATGGCTTACCAACTGGTTATGCAGTTCAATTAATTGGAGAGAATCCCACCAAGCCATATGACATTATGATGTTTGGACTTTTACAATTCTTGCAAATTGTTTACTTTGTTTCTGGAGCATAAGCCATGCAGATAACTATCATGAACATTTACATTTTTAAATTGTTTTTACCAGGACAACTGAATCTTTGAAGATAGATTCTTGAACTCGGAACTAGGTTTTCTTTAACCTATTAGTCTCTGTCTATGAGAATAATACATAGTAAACATTATAAGATATATGTGTGTTAGATTTAAGATATTTCCATCCCGTGCTACTCGTTTGAGTTATTTCTTATGAAACCCAACGCAGGAAATGGAGAAATCAAAGGAGACATTCGTGGTGTACCCACGAGAAATACAGCTGATAAAGTCTGGCTGACCTCCCAAGCAGTTGGGGACATCGCTTTTGCCACAACATACAACATTATCCTTTTGGAGATACAGGTGCTTAGGCTAATTCTCACTGTAGTTAACATACATTTATTAAATCCTGCTAGCAATACTCAACTGATTAACTTGATATTGTGCTTGAAGGACACTCTAAAATCACCGCCACCTCAAAATCAGACAATGAAGAAAGCATCAATTTCAGCCATACTTGTCACATCTTTCTGCTTCCTTTGCTGTGGCTGTTTCGGATATGCTGCTTTTGGCAACCAGGCTCCTGGAAATATTCTCACAGGCTTTGGCTTTTACGAACCTTATTGGCTAGTTGACTTCGCCAATGCATGCATTGTTCTCCATCTTGTAGGAGGCTATCAGGTAAAACCAAAAATACTCTCCTGATCAGTATAGTTGTCAGAAGTAGAATGTTCTGAAAAATTCAAGCTCCCAAAATAAACTGATGTAGATTCTTACCTGATCATTGTATTGTACCATCTACAGGTTTATAGTCAGCCATTGTTTGCTGCAGCTGAAAAGTGGATAGCAAAGAAGCTCCCCGACAGCGGAGTTGTCAACAAGAACTACACCCTAAAGCTCCCAATGTTGCCAGCAGCGGAGTTGAATGGCCTTCGGCTGTGCTTCAGAACCACGTACGTGGTGTCGACAACAGCACTTGCCATGTTGTTTCCTTACTTCAATCAAGTTTTAGGTGTACTTGGTGCCTTGAACTTTTGGCCGCTGGCAATATATTTCCCTGTGGAGATGTACCTGGTCCAGAATAGAATAAGATCTTGGTCAACGACATGGCTGGTTCTCCAAGCTTTCAGATTGCTCTGCTTGATTTGCACAATTTTCGCCTTTATTGGATCCCTTCAAGGACTCATAAGTAACAAATTAAGCTAAAAAAGGTCTTCCTTTTTGGTGGAGATTGGAGAGAAACTTCATATTTTGGAACTTGTGAATTGTACATATTATTAGATCTGTAGTATAGTTTCCAGTTTCCTTGAACTATTCCACCTTTGGTTCACTTGCTAGGTGAACTCAATTGATGACCTTTGGTTTGTTTACTCTCAATATAAGCCATGATCGAAAGAGCAGATTTATGCAGTGAAATGAATGACTCACGAATTGATAGGTTATAGTAGTAGATAAATAATAAACATAATTAAATACCATAAATTTTCTATTGTGTTCAATATTTGAGAAAATATAATTTGTATTTTTTTCGCTACTCTTTATTTTTTGTTGGTCTCTCTTTCTCTGTTACATTATTCTCGAATCACTCCACTTATAATATTCATCATGTTACTATTCCTTTATATAACCGTGAAAATTTGAGATTGAGCTCAAAAAGATTTACCATGGAAGGCATGCCTTTGTTGAGTTTACCATCTAGGTACCTCTTTTCTTTTTTTTTTTTTCTTTTTTTTTTTTTTCTCAGTTAATATAGTAGCACTTTTCTTGACTTGGGAGCTTAGGGAAAAAAAAAACTTAATTAAATTTGATGTGGACAGTTGAAATTTTTTTCTTTCATTTTTTTTTAACGGAAGTACATCTTCGAATTTTCGAAATCAGAGAGTTCAATTAATACTAGAAAGTCGGATTCCGGAATTCTGAAAGTCCTATCCGGTTTCAGGAGCATGTACACATTTGTCGGATTTTTGAAATCCGAATCTACCTCACTGAATCTGAAATCACTTTGGGCTTGTTTGCCCGACACTTATTTTGCATTTTTTCTCATTTTACCTCTTAAAATACCTCTTAAACACAAATCCCTATACTATCCAAACAATTTTTTAATTTACCTTTTAAAAAATATTACAAAAATTATATTTACGCAATTTTCATCCACCATCATCGGACCACCTCCACTACCATCACCCGTCGCCGGACCATCGTCGGTCGGCGACCGGCCGGCCGGATTCTGGCCAAATTCCAGCGAGGTGGCCGAAATTTGGCCGGAATCCGTCGCGCGGCCGGCAACGGTGGGCGGTGGTAGAGGTGGTCCGGTAATAGTCTACATGTATTATTAATTTATTTAAAATATCACCCAAATAACTTTTTAAATTTTATCTCAACCCACATTTTAAATCACATCTCAAACTCAAATAAAAAATCAAAACAAAAACTAAAACAAAATGTTGGCCAAACAAACCCATTACTTCCGCATATAGAAATCCGAAACATGTACCTTTGTCTATTCCCTCTTCAACCCGATATATTTCCGTCCACGTCCGTCCCACGAAAATATATTTCGGTATAAAAAACTCCAATTTTTTTTCCTCTCTAGTGAAACATTTTGGGCTTGACTGGAATAACCTACAAATTTGATGGCCAAATTCGAAATTCTATTAAGATTCTGACACACAAAAGAGGTTTTCCGGCCAAGGCTAACCCACAAAAACTATCAACTACACAGTACACAGTAGTACAGCAGGGGGGCTTTTCTAACCCACGGCGGCCTTCTGCCTCCAATTTCCCACCTCACACTTTCAGCATGCAGTACCCGCTACAAAATCCCCAAATTTCCCCGTAAACCTAATCAAGTTGCGTCGAATTCAAATCTCCAAAGTTTAGTCCGCTTGAATTATCGAAGCCATTACCCCATAGTTGAACTTCCAGTCCTCCAGAGCTCACACTTTGCTTTACCCTCGGAAAAAGAAGAAAACATTTGATAGAAGATTTGATTCTGTGCGGAAGGAAACCTGTGAATTTGGACTGCTATTTTCTCGGAGAAGTCGGCGTTTCAGTGATTTGAAGTAGTTCTTTTTTAGGGATTCCGATGATGGTTAGTTCGTTCTTTCCGCGTAATTTGCTATTTCCTCTTGTGCATGCCATATTCTGAATGTCTATCATGTGTTTGTTAAATTGTGTTGTTGATTAAACTGGCTTTATGTATATACAGTTGAAGCGTTTGGTCTGACCATATAGGAACAGCAAGTGCTTAAAACAGTTTGCAATAACTACAATTATCAATATTTAGGCTCTCTGCGTGGCTTGCTTACAAATAAGAAACTTAGGAAATTAAGTTGTATGGAAGGAGAAGTTTAAAAAATGGGCAAAATTATGTCTGTTCATAGTTGCTAGGGTTTGTGATTTTGGAAAAAGCTTTTCCATGATTAAACCTTACTCAACGAGCTGATTTTACTTATGGATGTGTACATCTGTCAAAATGTATCTGTTTCTGGCAGCCTGGGGATTGGTATGAATTGGATACCGTAAACATGAACTGATATTACATTGTTACTGGATATGTATTACAGAGCGGCAGAGGTGGGAGAGGCAGATCTCGTAGGGAATATCCTTCCAGATTTGAAGAGAAAATCCGAGAGAGGCAGAGTTATCCTCCATCAAGACATCTTTGGGTTGGGAACCTTTCTCGTGATATAGATGAAGGCTCTTTGGCACACCTCTTCGCACGATTTGGTGAACTTGAAAGTATTGCATTTCTACCTGGTCGCACCTATGCTTTCGTTAATTATAGAATTGAGGATGACGCCTTTGCTGCCATAGAAGAACTCCAAGGTTTTACTGTTGCTGGCAATCCACTTATAATTCAGTTCACCAAGGCGGTTAGTGATGTTAATTTTTGTCTGATTTCCTTTTTGCCTTTGTACAATGTCTACCTTGAGACATATTCGTATATTTGCACAATTCTCCTGCCAAAATATGCAAGACTCCATATGTGCTTTTTTTAATCCACATTCTTTTCTCAAGTTTTTTGCAATAATATATATTCAATAGCAACTCCAGTTTAGATCTAGATGATACAGTAACATGCTCTACCGGAGCTCATACGATATCCATTTGCACGTCAGTCCAATATCCTCTCTACACCTGCAGCTACCACTCTACTTTCCGCTGTGGTGAGTGGAAACATGCGCATCCTGCATTCTTTGGCCAAACAATACCTGGCATCAACGTGATAATTTGAAAACCAGTACCTCTTAAGAAAAGAAAGAAACAGAAATTCTAGGCCTATTAAATGTTCCATGAGTGGTTCATCATTGTCACATTCTAGGGCGATTAAACTTTCCAGGTGAATAATGATGAATCCATCCTTTGTGTTGCTCATCTTTTGTCACTTATAGTAGTTTCTCCGAATATCTGCGCAGATTTCCTTCTATAGTTAGATCCAAATTTCTGTCCACAAGTTGCTTCATCAAATAAGAATAGTTTCCGTCAATCAGGAAACAGGTCTTCAGTCATGCTGACAAATAGGAAATTTTTATTTTCCATGAAAGGAAAAACACAATGCGAACCAAGAATGGCTGGGAAAATAAGGATACAGATACCAATCTCCTTGAAAGTACAAACATTTAATACCAAAGATATGTTGCTCTGAATTCTATAATGATCTTTATAGGTTAATTTCTTTGATTGTTAAATTTTGATTGAAAGAACTCTATTATTTTGAGGTATCATTACAAAGGATTGTTAAATTAGTAAGTCCATCGAGATGAAATTGAACCTCAGAAAAGCGTGAGACATTGGATTGCGATTCAACTAAGTGATTGGATTGCAAGATACTCATCTATTGGCTAAAAGTCCTGATGAAAGTAATCATCTGCACCTGGTCTTATGTCATCGAACAAGTTAATTTATATATATTTTGAGTTTCATCCAAGGAGTACCTGGTGACACTTGTCCACTAGTCTTAGTACTGTTTCAATCTGGTGCACCCTGATGTCGCGATTCAATGGTCCGCACAAATAAACAGGGGAAGTGCTGGATTATTAACATATGACCTTTATGCTTGAAGTAGGAAAAATAGAACAGGACAGATAAGTGCATGTTTTCATGGTAAAGTATCTGCTTTCCAAACAGCAAATAAATGTGAAACTTGATCTGTCAATTGGTGTGGGAACCAACTGGAGGTGTAGGAATCCAAAAAGGTCCTGGAACTGCAAGATTTCAAGGGATCAAAGCTTTGCTGGATGTAGAAAACATCATTTAAATGCCAACTATGCTAATGGATGCCAAGTCTACACATTCTGCCAATTTAGGAGCTATTGCTTCAAATACTAGTTTAGGGTATGTGATATTTTCTGCCAATTTAGCTTTAGACATTTTAGAGCCCTTTGTTTCGTATGCCTTTTGATGATCATCAGCTTTGATTTCTCGGGCATGCATCCAATATCTACAAGCAAATAGTTCTTATATCTCGAAGTCAGCAGCATTTCGCTGGCTCAAGAAATTTTTACAAGCGTCGTGCCCCTGAAAGTGAATTCTGCTGGTAAGAGATTTTCCTGCAGAAATGGAAACTTGAGTTTCTTCGGTTGGCTTTTTGGCATGGTGTTCACTGTAAATGTCCACAGAACTTTCTGCGGTTTCTTGAGGCAATGCCATTGCTTAGTCTTGGGTCGCGACATGCTGGCTTCCATCTCAAGCTAAGGAAAGGACTTTGGTTTGCTTAGTCTTAGGGCTATTCACTTCCATATACATATTCTTTACTATAAGGTCATGCATCTGGATGACATATCTCAAACACACTTCCCTTATAATCCTTGGGGAAAAAAATTACGTTTACAGTTTGATCCATGTTAAAGTTCTCTTTTGCAAGGTAAATTTTCTTTTTGTTTCTGGAGCGAGTATATTAACGCAAAACCTTTGGCAAGGCATATAGATTGTTGTTGACTTGCTGTTTTCTATCCATTAAAATGTTACTTTAATCGATAAATCTGCACTGTCCAACCCAACCCATGAGAGCCTAAGGTGAGTAGTTGGCACTTGCATATTGAAGGAAGTGGACCTTCTCAAATATTGGTATCAGGGAACCAGCTCCTGTGGTTTCTCTTTTTTTCTTTTATCTTGTTTGATCAAATTAAAATTTTATCCAGTAATGCACATGGTGGTTCATATGGAATGGTTTCCAACAAACCAGGACAACATAGTATTTGTTTTAGGAAATAAAAGGAAGCAACTACATTAGAGAGCGCTTCTTTTCCCGCCGTTTGAATTTCCTGCTGTATTTCATCCCAGAAACAGTGGCTGGCCATTTGCAAACACATAAAAAGAAAGCTCATGTTCCTGACTTTCCACATTCTGTAGTCTATGAAATAAATCGTTACCTGCTGTGAATAAGGAAAGGAATTTTGAAGTTCTTTCTGGTACTTGTTTGCACCCTGTTAAATTTGGCTTCTGTTTCTTTTTGGGGGACCCTGATAAGGTTCTGCTTTTCTTGATAAATGGTATAAATTTTGGTCGTGTTTCTTTGTGGGTGTTGCTGCTTTATGCTGGTGAGAGATGATGACATCACTTTGGCATTAAAGAAGTTTTGCAGCAACTTTTGCAGCGGCTAAGTTCAGAAGACTTTTCTAAATTTAGTTGTGGTTTTCAGGAAAAATCGGCCCCACAGCATGATGATAACTACTTGGAACGTCGAGAAGAAAACCGATCAATGGTAAGAGGGTCACCGTGTTCCCACAGGGATTCAAGAGTACGTCATTCCAGTTTCGACGCTGCATATTCTGACAAATCCAAAACTCAAGAAGAAAATTTAGAACCCAGTGAAGTCCTATGGATTGGTTTTCCTGCTCATCTCAAAGTTGATGAGTTCGACTTGAGAAGGGCATTTGCACCTTTTGGAGAGATCGATAAGATTACTGTGTTTCCTGGACGTCCTTATGCTTTTGTTCGTTTTAGGGATGTTTGGGCAGCCTGTCATGCAAAAGAAACTCTTCAGGGAAAATTATTTGGCAATCCACGAGTTCATCTATGTTTTGCCAAAAATGAATCTGGAACTTCACATAGAGAAAGGAACTTAGTTAATTCCTCATCTCCTCCATATTCTGGACCTTATGGACATCCTTCCGAGAACCTCTACCTGGACAGAGATTTTGATGCTACAAGGGATCACAGAATTATATATCCTCGTTTTACTACGAATCTAGAGCCTGGTGACCCTGATATGATGTGTTTTGGCAGGGAGCGTGATGCTTGGGCTGGCAAAAATCCTGCATCTCGGCAGATGTTCCCCGAAGACTTTGGGCAAGGAGTTCCCAGGAATATCCTTGATAGTCCTTCAAAGGAGAGAGACCTGCACTATAATGAGTATTCTCCTCCTAACTTCCATCACCAACGTCCATTTGACGACGATCCTTTTGATTTGCCTGAAGATTTATCACTCTTTCGTGGAGCTAAAAAACTCAAAACAAGTACGGTAAATGAGCTCCCTGAATGGTCTGATTCTAGACAGAAAAAACATGTTCCTTCTAGAGCATATCCTGGGTTCCAGGATGATGCCTACGAACCAAACATTGGTTTTGGTTCACTTAGTCACAAACAGGCCCCTGATCAATCAATGAAATCTACTTTAACCAATGAAGAGAGAGATGATCACTTGAGTGCTCCTTATGATGGTTTTACAACAGGTTCTGTTCCATTGTCCTCATTTCCTGAGCACAAAATGTTGACCCCTATATCACATCAGTCTTCTGTAAGTAAGGAGTGGAAATGGGAGGGCACTATTGCTAAAGGTGGAACTCCTGTATGTCGTGCTCGCTGCTTTCCTGTTGGCCAGCTGATGGACATGGCATTGTAAGTAGTTTGAAAATATTGGTTTCATAGTAGCACTTGAAATCTTCATTGATTTATTGATATATATATATATATATATATATATATATATATATATATCTGTCGATCCCACCTTGGCTTCAGTTTACAGTTGCAGTTTACGTTACGCATGCTCACATCTGATTAGCTGTAATTTATGGTGCACTATAGAGGATCTGACATGTTATGGTAGTTTTTCTTGGTTTTAAGACTGACATTTGGTTTTGAAAAATGTTGTCTGAATGTCTGTTCTTGCAACCAAAGCTTCTGTTCATTTGAAGAGGATGGTGTGAGTAGCTACAACTGATTGGAACGCCTTAGGGATGATAGTTATTCTTTTATATCTGTGTTAAATAGATGATTGTAGGTGCTCTCCGTTTTGGATGTTCAACAACATACCCTTACTTTAACATGTCGATGTCTCAGGCCTGAGGTCCTGAACTGCACAGCAAGAACTAGCTTGGATATGCTTTCCAAACATTACTATCAAGCTGCTGGTGCTTGGGTTGTTTTCTTTGTTCCTTCAACTGATCCTGATATTGCTTTTTATAATGAATTCATGAATTATCTGGGGGAGAAGCAGAGGGCAGCTGTTGCCAGATTGGATGAGATGAACACATTGTTTCTTGTACCTCCTTCAGACTTCTCTGAGAAAGTACTCAAAGTACCAGGTAAATTGAGCATATCTGGTGTGGTTCTGAGGTCAGAGCATCCTGGTTCAGGTTATGGTTCATTAAATCATCATCAAGCAAAGAAAGAGGCCCACTTTACATCTTTGCAAACAAATCCAGCCACCATTAATCCGTCATCTTCAATGCCAGCTCTACCTGATTTAGAGAGACCTGGAGTCAGAAAAACATCTGATCCTGGAAATTCCTTGAATGGAGTCGCATCTGCATCATTTTTAAGACCTGGAGTAAGAGATGCATCTGGCAACTTCTCCAACTCACCTGTTGACCCCAGGCTTGTGGATGCACTTCCCCGTCTTAAGTCCATGATGGGTTCACAAAACTCTGGTTCAAACACATGGAATACTGCATTGCAGTCAAATAACGGGGTTAATCTCACCGAAGGATATAATCCAGTACCTGTCAGTAGAATGGGCGGCCAACTCCATCTAGAAAAACCTCCAGACTTCTCATCGAGGCCTGATGTTGCTGCCCTTCAGCCTGAGGAACTAATCAAATTAGCATCCAGTCTTCTAGGACAACAAAGGCACCCTGGAGCTGCTCCATCAATGGGGTCAGACCACTGGGCGCAACAAAATTATGTACCACATAATCAGATTGCTCCCGAGTCTTCCTTGGCCCAGTATGGTCAAATGCAACACTTTCCCCCTCAGGGGCAGATTCTCCCTCGTGTGCCTACAGTGCCTCCAAGAGAGCACCAACCTGGTGGTTCTCTGGTGAATCAACCACTACGCTTACCTGAACAGATGGAAGGTGACACCACCGAAAAACGCTTGCAGGCAACGTTGAACCTGGCTGCAACTCTGCTACAGCAGATTCAACAGGGCAAAGGGACATGACAAAGACAGCCTTATCTTAGTATCATAGCAACAGCAAAGTGGTTAAACAGATATTTAGCCTATATATCTGGGCAGATTTTAAGATGTACATAGTATAGTCTGACACTCTTTGTAGTTTAAGGGTTAGTGCAGATGTTAGGTTTTTGTTCTAAGACTGCACATCAAACAACGGTCCCTTAGTTTTTGCGTTTCTTGAAGGAAGACATGATTTATTATACACACCTATACTGTCCATGTAGAGACGGTGATAGAGGTCGGGGGGATTTTATCTTCGAAAGGTAAAAAGGAAAACAATCAAATTGCGGACTGCTCAACCTTTTCTTACTGCTCGACATCATTTTACAAAAGATTAAGTATTTTACTTACAAAAGATAATTACATTCTCCATTTTTTGTGTGGAGCAAACAATTGAATCAGATAAAGTTCTGATATACAGATTGTGAATGGCGGTGAAGTGGTAACTACAAAAAAAATAGTATAAACAAAGAAAAGGAAGTATAGAAAATTTCATCTAAAAGTAAAGATAGGTTGATGATTCCATCCCGTTTGTATTGTCTCGGCAAAGAATTGATCTTGCTTCATTGATTGAGCGAGGGGGCTCTAAGTCTTTCTCTTGCAATGCATTTCCTTGCAATCTTTGCATCTGTGATGCAAAAATGTCATCCAGTATCTGTATATACACACAACAAAATATATGTCAACATGTGAAAAGGTTTCTTGAGTTAAAAGAGGTATATGAATTTTCGCTTCTTACCCCGAGAGCATGATATGATCCACTATACCATATTCGATTCTCTTTTCGGCCCTCCAAAAATTTCAAAACAACCTGAAAACATGGAAGAACAGATGAGCTAAACATGGGAGAGAGATTCATATTAGGACAAACATTTTTGTTTTCATTGTGTTACCTGTCCCATTTTGTCCCAAAAACCACGGCAAATGGCTACAAATATGCGACTTGTGAAGACTTCATGCAAGTTGGATATGGAATCTGAGAGTTCTGTGCTCAGCATTTGCATTCTTTCACGAATTTCGACTTCTCCATCTGTCGCCTTTGTCTCCTCCAAGATCCTTTGCAGCCTTGTGCTCCGACTGGCCTGCATCTGTTAGACCCATGATCTATTTAATTTTTTGCACCCATAAAAAAATCAGATTTACTAGTCGACATTATGTTGATGGAAGTATGTGAAGTCCAGTGAGAAGAGAGGAGCTTACATTACTTGCAAGCTTCAGAACAATTGCTTGCATGTAATTCTTGTACTTGGTTCTCAGCAACACAGTAACTCCGTTCATGTGCTCTCCAAAACTTGACTTCTTCTCCCCATTGATTGGAAGATAGGATGCCCAAGCCTTGAGAATATCCTCAATCTTACAGTGAAGGACATCCAGTATTCTCTTGAGTGTGTTTAAAAAGGTCCCTAGCTGCCGGACAGAAAAGTAGCGCCTAAGCACGATTGCTGGAAGAATTTTAGATGCATGCATTACATGACACACAGGTGTATATCAGCTGTAACAGATGCGTGCCAAAATGAACCAACTCTTTTAGATTGCAATGGATACTTTTTAACGATCTTCTACTGATAGATAATTTCACTAAAGATTACTAGCCACATAAAGTCAGTGTGTAAAAGACCTGGTGCACAGAAGGTTTGATGAAAACTTTATCTAATGTAACATTGGAAAAGGCACTAACTTGGACTGGGACTGAATAAAGCGCAGTGGATTGTCTTCTGGCTAATTTCTGAACTTGCATTCCAAGCTTTTTGGGAACACTATCTTTCAGAGGAGTCAAGATATCATTATACTGTTTCTCAAGGGCTTTCATGATTGCTCTTTCAACATTTGCAACAGCCTGCACATTGATAAAATGTCAACATGATTGCATTTCAGATTGCCAAATGAAAGGATACACTTGATTATTCTGAATAGCCATAAAAAGCTTGTCCAAAGAATAAGTGAAACTCACATTCTCCAAAATCAAGGTGTATTGAGGCCATCTACTAATGACGACCTCATACTCATGTAGCATCGCTTTGAGGTTTTCAAACATTTCCTCAGCAAAAGGAGAAGTTGAATAATTTGTGCTCACTCCTGACCAAGGCACCTGTCAAACATACACATTTCAAGTAAGAATATATCTTCGTTGATCCATGAAGATAAAGAAATATTCTATGCAACTAGAACTCAGTGAATAAAGCATTCTTCAGAAACTAACCTTTTCTGCTTTACATTGATCTAGCAGATTCATTTGCATGTCCTGTATCCATACCATTATATACCCATGGTATAAGTCTCTTGAGTCAACACCACCCACTACTGGCCTGTTAATCGAAGTCACATAAATACAGGGGCATGTTCTGGTTATAAAATAGAAATAATTTATCCAATTCCAATGTCATATGTATATGAAAGATGTCAATTTATGCACCTGATGTTCCAGGACTCTAGATTCCTTTCAAAATCGGAAGTTGCCTTTAGAAGCTCATTAACATAAGTCTGGGGGCTTGAAGGAGGCCATGCAGAAAGAAAAGATCTAAGCCTTTTACATAGCTCTGTGCTGTAGACCGTGGCAGTGATGCCTGGCAGGTCAATTGAGCTACAAATAATGGAGCAGATTTGTTATGCCGTACACTGATGTTAGTAAAAGAAATGTCAAGTTCAGTTTCTCTTCATAGCATGACTGTTGTTTAACAAGTAAATTGCTACAGGGTTCATACGTGTTTGCTTTGACTTCTCTGACCAGAGTAACAGCATTAAATAGCAACAAAATTGCTAGCCACAGATGATATTAAACACTAACATGCAATCTGAAAAAGTTTGTTGAAATTAATGGATCTGTTACCTGGGGAGTACATGCTCCGCATGTATCTTAATGTCAGCCTTTATCTCCATGCTAATGTTTGAACAGAGATTTTTCATCTTCAAATAAGCAGTGGACATCGTCATAGAATCCATGACAAGACCCTCAGAGCAATTTGATAGAAAGTCATCTGTCTCAAGCATGTGTTTCCGGCACCTTTTCATGGCTGCTGCCTGCGTTAAATCGAAAAATTAGGTTGGAGTTCTGCTTGCAAAAGTAATCAACAGAAAAGCAATAGATGCAATCGACTATGTTCTTAAAGACATTTATTTTTTACAAAACTCAAAGATGGTTATTTTTTGCTGAGAATATTAGTAATATTATCCGATTTTAATAAATGAAAACCAAAAAATAAAAGTTCCATATAAAGTAAAGAAAGGTACCAACACTCACCTGAAAATAGTTTCTTAGGATGATCTTAGCATCTTCAGCTAGTATATCATGGAGAAGTGTGTATACTTGCACTGCAGGACCTAGGGATGGTGCTGCAGATTCTAATATAGGAGATGACATGTCTGCTATCCCTGTAGGAGAGTTTTCATCTAATAACTTGTAGTTTTGAAATACATCAGCAAGGAGACTCTCAACCTGGGTTTCACAATTTAGCAGTATGCTTTTCTGCAGCAAAAAAATTGATTGATGGATCAGCTATGAAGGATCACAGAAAATTTCTACATGAACATTGCACAGATATGGACAAAAACATAACAAGCATATAGATGAACTAACAGAGGATTGAATTCTGATATTTGCAGTACTATTGTTTGCGTTCATGGTTTACCTCTTGTCTTGTTAATCTTTTATCATTTCGTTCCTGAATAACAGGCAATAGTAATTTGTATACAAGCTCTATACAATCTTTAGTTGGAGTAGCGACATTCATCACATATGAAAGATACCTGCAAACAAAATTTAGAGCACAACACTTGTTCCCATATCATAAAGTGAAGTCCTTTATTGCTATTGACAAGAAGGTCTTGTTTAATAACCTCAGTTTGGTATAAGAATCTGAAACTCCATAGTACTCAGCAAACTCTGTAAGCAGCCATTTCCAAGGTCCACCCAAACACAAGTTTCTAGCACGAAACTTATTACCACGCATGGCAGCCTCTAGCAACAGATTATATGCAAAAGTCTCCACTATCGGTGCATTCTGAAATAAAGTAAACAAGAGTTAATAGTATCATAAATGTCATGCAGAAAACAAAAGAGAAGCATTTACTATTTCACCCAATCCTCTGATATTATGCAGAGTATTTAGTTTCATTAAAAAAATTAACTATGGCCGATACAGCTGAAACTACAAGAGCTATATGGTATATGCAGGCCAGTGTGCTCGATCAATATTTCACAAACTCACCTTTATATGGGTTGGTTCATCGTTTGTAGATGTCCAATTTATTGAGAGCTGTACCTTCCCAATACACTCATGATCATCATGGTGAATAGGCCACCATTTTACTTTCTCAGTCTGCATAGGTCAAAGGAATGAATATTGCAAGATAAAGAGAATGTTGACGTAAATACCCAACAAAATCTATCTCTATCAACAAACAATTTTAGCACGTACAGGATTATCAGTCAGTGATGCTATGGGAATTACAGCTCGACCTTGAACATTTTTCTTCATATCCTGGACTTCCAGGAGGACAACATCCCCTTGATTGTCTGTAAAACTGTAATATGGTTTACATTAATACATTCCTTGAACTACTTTATTGGAGACACATATCTACTTTTTAACGAAAAGAAAAAACTTCATCATTAAGCGGAGATGCAGTGAAAATATTTATTTTCCTCTTAAAATTCATTTATCCAAATTACAGCGAAATTACACATATCTGCAGATATACGTTGAATAATTAACTTCACATTGTGGATTAATATGCCCCAGCAGGAAGTTTAAGATGAAGCTGAAACTTACAAGTCATGATAATCACCAGTTCCAGGATGCAAGGAAATGGCTGAACTTAAACCATCTTGATTGTCTTCCACTGAGCTTTTTAATTGCACTAAGCATGAGAATGACTCTGCTATCAATGAAGATGATGTTAATATATATTTTTGGAATGAAATCTTCTCTTTAATGAGAGAAAAGAGATTCTCCCTCAAGTTAAAATAATATTTCATTTCTGCTAAGAATGTCATGGAAAAGATTGACGTGAAAAAGGATTTCATTTAGCTTTTGAAGTTGTATTTTGATTAGAGTTAATAGATAAAATGAAGTAAAAAGGACAAACCTTCGCATGTCAGTGAAGATGAGGCAAGTTTCAGAGAATTAATTCCACTTTTCACAAGTGCAGAAACATGCCGCACATACTCAGCTCCAACTTGCATGTACATTGTACCACGCAGAGAATTTGTATCTTTAAGCTTCCTTCTTGGTATGATCCTAACTTTTTTCACTGCCATAAAACACGCCAATGAAAACAATAGGAGATTCTTTGATGGGCCAGATATTTGATGGTTCACAGGAAGTAGTACAAAATAATCACGCAATTTGTCAAAAGCCCTTATAGTATTTGGAAAATACTGTACTATAACCATTTACACAAGAGAAAAAAAAAGAAGCTTTTTTTGTTTTTTTTAATCACATTCATTCAGAAGAAAATTGACTATAGACAAGGCAAAGAAGAGCTGGAAAATGTTACTTGCTTCATTTGATCATTTACTTTCATTGATAACCAACTAAAAATCACAAAGAACTTCCAATTACTCATTCATGTGACAAAGAACATGCAATGTGTGTGTCAAAATTACAAACAGAATGAGCATTTTAACTTTGGAATAATTAAAGTTTACATATGTAGCCTCTTTGGAAAAATGAAGAAGGGTTGTCAGACGGATGAAGGAAAAAAAAAAAAGTCGACCCTTGCTCAATTGGAATCCTAGATATCAAGCAGAAACCCAGTTTTGTGATATAAAATTATAAATAGATCAAATCAACACTGCATGTAGTAGTACAGTGCAGCATAACTTGTTCAGGTAAAACATAGTGGAATCTGACCTCTGTTATGCTAAATTTGATAGAAAATAGATGTGGTACCTTCCAGACGGATTTTCCCAGCAATTTGTTTCCCTTGCGAGGGGAAGTCTCGTTTTATCTTATTTCTCGGCCTTTCTGATGATTGCATACCATGAGGTTGTAAAAGGAACTTGTGTAGACTGAGAACAGAAAACCGAAACCATTTAGAGAGGATAAGTCACATCGAAGCTTTCAGTATTTGATACACATTACAATCTAATGGATCCATGATATAGAAACGTACCCAAAGGCATTGCGCAAAAGTAGACACTCATCTTTTAAGAATTCTGGTGCCTCCGGGCATCCTCTTGCCCATGCATTCAGGCATAATCGAATGCATGCATCATAGGCAATCAGACTTTGCCATGCATTTTGATCACTGTACCAAAGTCCAAGAAGTGAACTTAAGATTTTAATGTGACAGATCAAGATAGAGTTGCAAATGATGAGATAACAAGAAAAGTCAATAATATCCATAATATGATGATACCATCAGACCAAAAAAGATACACCATACGAGTGAGTGTGTTCTTGTTTCACTTCTTCATAAGTAATCAAAAATAAAATTCCTGGACCTAATAGTTCCAGGATGCAAAGCAGTAATTTAATCACACCATAGGGACAGAAATTAAGGTGATGATCAATGTTTTACAACCCGTGATGCTGATGCAATGTTAAGGAGAGAGAGAAACAAGATAACACAAAGGCAGATTGCAAACCAACTGATCCACAAATATTAAACCAGGAAATAAACACTCTAAAAAACACAAGTAATATGCAATATAATCACACCACAGGGACAGAAATTGAGGTGATGATCAGTGTTTTATACCTGGCATCATAATAAGGTGAATCAACCTTTGGTTCTGCTTCCCAAGCATCCTTTGTTACTTCTGTTTGCCCAAGAATCATCCCTTGATTGTCTTCTCTATAAACCAGTTAAAGAAGTTTGAGTCATAAGACAACCATACAAAGAGCTATCTTAATGAAGAAATAAATTGCATCAGCATAGATTACCTTTCTTTAACTTCTAGTTTATGAAACTGTTCATTTTGGTCCAAAGGGACTTCTTTAGCACTTGGACACTCCTGAGATGATGCTCTTGGAATGTTCAGGACCTTATTTGCATCATCAACATCTGATGTTTGACCATATGCACTTCCAATCTCAGAGTTCTCCCCTTCTGGCCTAACCTCCATAAGAGGTGGGGCACTAGGAGTTCCTAAGTCACCGACTGGTGTCGCCTGCATTTGAATGAAATAAAACCATTTACAACAACATCCTGTCATTCTGAGATTGAAGGATTTATATCCCTCATACCTAATTACACCAGCAAAAGGAAAGAGAGCCAGTTCTTACATATGCACTGTGCGATTGAAGGATATCCGGCAAACGAGAGCTCCTATTTGCAGCTGCAATTCTGTCCTCAAAACCCAACTCGGTATCTGTATACCTTCTTGTGCTCTCTGGAACCTCAATCCGGAGATACTCTTTCGATAATCCCCTGTTCAACTTAGGACCAAACCTGAGCCCCACATTACCAGTTCCCCTCATATGATTCAAAACTGCAGTTGATTTCTGATTATGGATTTGTTCTCTGCTCCCGGATGTAATTGCCTCATCAAGTCCTTCTTCCTCAGGGCAAATGCCATCAAGCTCATCAGGAACAGACGCAACACTCTCACTCTCATAACCATCATCATAGTCATCCGACCCATAATTGTCTTCACTGCTACTATCCAAACTCGAAGCAACTGGATTGTGAGGCCCCAGAAGACCAGAATGAAACTTTAGAGGGGGAAGTATATGGGAACTAGTAGATCCCAATCCAATAGGTGATCGCGGAATTGGGTATTTGTTATCATAGTTCTCCCTCAACGGTGATCTATGCTGAGCCTTTTCCACATTTGAACCCTGCAATAAAAACGCGGTCTTGACCTTAAATTCAAGCTAAAAAAAACTATCTTGTGCATTATTTAGCCAGAAATCATGCGACCCAAAACCGTAATACATATACACACAAAAATACCGGATTCAGAAAGAACACAAAAGAACTAACGGAAATGAAAATGGATTGGATACAATTAAAAAGCTGCAAACACATAAGCAAAAGATAAAATCTTTAGTACCTGTTTAATCCAATTGATGGCTGATTCGTCTAAGCCTTCAGTAAACATTTTTCAGGCTTTGCCCACAAAAAAAAAAATTAAAAAAAATACAAGGCTGGAGGACGAAGCAGAGAACAATTTGAGCAGATGGGAATTTGAGGACTGTTTTCTTCTACAACATAGAAAGAGATTCCAGTGAATTTTAGTGGGGAGATTTCTGCTACGCTCTTGTGTAGGTGCTCGACCGACATCTGCACAACGGCTAGTTTTGACAATAATAAGACTGAAAAGGTGGAATAAACTATTAAATAAGTTGGAGCCATTTTTAGGGCCGTTTGGCCCATTTAACAAAAGTAAAGCCCAGATTCTTCCAATTATTATCTTCTTCCTTCATCGTCGCCGGGAAAACCAAAGCCGCCGCCGGAGCGATTTTCACCTTTTCTCCATCGGGCTTTGCAGTGCTGCTATCGCCATCAGAGTGACTTTTGTTAACCCTTTTTAATGGTCTGCTGATTTTGCTCAAGAAGGGGATAAAAGAAAAGGACAACGAGAAGGGAACTGGAATCAATGGGCTTTGGTCTCCTGGGACTGCGAACAAGAAAGATGAAAATGAGACATAAATTTTATTTATAACCAAGCATCAACGATGGATTTTAGTTACCCAATTACATTCCATTTCATTCCCTTACTCTCCAGTTCCAGAAGGTGATTCAGGCGCCCCAACCCCATAGTTTTAGCGAAACTGTTTTAGATGTTACTTTGAGATAATCAACTAATGTTACCGCCAATACCAGACATCTGCATGAAATCGACAATTTCCATTGTTTTCAGGAAATTTAGCCTTCGCAATGGAGTTGCTTATCAGAGGTTTCTCCAAAGAGCTCATCTCCATCAAAACTCACTTCTTCAACCTATCACACCCCAAGCACTCATTGACCTACTTCAAGAATCCAAAAGGGTTCAATCAATCAGCGCAATAAAGGAAGTCCATGCACTCGCCATCACCATCGGGCCAAGTTCTGCTGACCCTGTTGTTCTCCACAATAGTATCATCTCAAAGTATGCGTCTTTGGGGGAATTTGTCGGAGCTCGCCACTTGTTTAACAGAATGCCGGATCGAAGTGTTGTGTCATATAATTGTATGATCAAAGCTTGTTTTAGTGATGGGAATTTGCAGGAGGGTTGGAAATTGTTCGCTGATATGAGAAATAATGGATTTTACCCTACGGAACGCACGATTTGTGGCCTTTTCTCTTCTGATGGAACGAGTCTTTGTCAAGGGTTGCAGCTGCTATCACTGACAGTGAAGAGTGGATTTTTGTGTATGGGTCCTTTTGTTGGAACTGCATTATTGGGTATGTTTGGCCGTCATGGATGTTTGGATGAAAGCATTCGGGTTTTTGAGGACATGGCTGTAAAGAACTTGGTCACTTGTAATTCTATGATCTCTTTGTTTGGGCAATATGGATTGGTTTCATACTCTATTAAGATGCTCCACGAGATCATGGAAAGTGGAATGGGCATATCTGAGTTAACTATAGTGGGTTTTTGTCTGGTTTTGTTGGCAATTCGTGCTTGGAATTGGGGGAACAAGTACACGGGCTGGTTATGAAGTTTGGTTTTAAAGACTCAACCTTAGTTTCTAAGTCTTTGATCAATATGTATGCAAAATGTGGTGAAATATGCTTGACAGAGAAATGCTTCAATGAAGTTGCTGCTAAGGATATTGTTTCGTGGAACACTATGATTGGAGTAATGGCAAAAAGTAAGAGACCAGAAAAAGGCTTCGTAACCTTTTTGAGAATGTGCGAAGATGGAACTATTCCTAATGAGACTACATTTGTAAGTGTTCTTAGCTCTTGCTCAAGACTGAGGAACCCATCCTTTGGGGAATTTGTACATGCTAAGGTAATCAAGAGAGGCGCCGAATCTGATATATATGTTGGCAGTGCATTGGTCGACTTTTATGGGAAATGTGATAAATCTGAACTTGCTCATCTTTGTTTTGACGAAATATCTCATAAGAATTCAGTTTCGTGGAACTCTTTGATGGCCAGTTACGCAAATAAGGACTCTTCTATTCCCTTTTTACTACTGGAAGAAATGGTTCAATTGGGGTATCGGCCAAATGAGTTCTCATTTTCTACACTTCTGAAATCTTCACTAGCCTTGGAGGTGCAACAGCTTCATTCATTCATAATAAAGACTGGATATGATGACAATGAGTACGTGTCAAGCTCTTTGATCACTTCATATGCCAAAAATGGCCTTGTATAAAATGCTTTGTTAGTTGTAGACACCATTGGAAAACCAGTTCCTGTGGTTTTTTCTAATGCTATTGCTGGCGTATATAATAGAACCGGGCAATATGAAAAGACGCAAGATCTGTTCTCTGTTCTTGAAGAACGTGATATTGTTTCTTGGAACATCTTGATTGCAGCTTGCGCTCGAAATGGTGATTACACTGAAGCTTTTGAACTTGTTAACCATATGTTGAGAGCTAAGATCATACCAGACAGTTACACCTTTGCCAGTCCATTCAGTATATGTTCAAAACTTAACAACCTCGCTTTAGGTAATTCTCTCCATCATCATTCCAAAGACTGGAATCAACTGCTGTGACCCACTTGTTTTTAACATTATGATCGATATGTATGGAAAATGTGGGAGCCTTGAGAGTTCAGTGAAGATCTTCAACGCCATGACAAGCAAAAATGTCATTTCATGGACTGCTCGTCTCGGCACTTGGATTGCACGGTCATGCTCATGAAGCACTGCAAAAGTTCAGAGAGATGGAAGTAGCAGGGATTGTCCCAGATAAGGTTGTTTACACTGCAGTTATTTCAGCATGCAGGCATGTCGGATTAGTACAGCAGGGGTTCGAACTATTTGGCGAGATGAAAACCAAGTATGGAATTGAACCAGAGAGATGGATCACTACCTTCTCATAGTTGACTTGTTAGCTAGATATGGCCATCTAAAAGAAGCTCAAGACGTTATTGCCTGGATGCCATTCCCGCCAAATGACAGTATTTGGCGTAGTTTTCTGGACGGGTGCAAGAGGAAAGGATTCACAGAACTAGCTGTTGCTGCATAGTTGAGTGCTTGAGTTGATTCCGTATCTATTTTTAACTGTGCCGATAGGTTAGGCAAAGTTTGCTACAGCTACAGATGAGGGCTTAGTTTTGCAGTAGTCCAGTGAAATACATAGTGCAGGACTTCCAGAATTTGAATGTGCAAATCTTGGACTGCTGGCCTAATTATCAAACTCAGTGCACTGATTCCTATTCAGCGAAATATCAAGTGATATTGTGCATTAATTTGGGCAAATGTGAATGTCATATCCTACATCCGACTGATCAGTTGCTTTAATTCTTAAAAGCCTCCCAGAATATGACCGTAAAGGCAATTACACTAATAACTGAAATCACATTTAGCTGCCTTGGTTTTTTTTTTCGAAAGTTAAGATGCCATGGTTGCATACATCTTCATCCCAAGATATAATCAACATTGGAATCACTCATTAATAAAAAGGGCCAAAAGATAACAATCAAACAAGACCAGATGGGGGGTTGAGTTGACTAAATATTGAAGAACCGCAGCAAAAGAATAATGAGAATGAAAAAGCAAAAACACAAAGTTCAATACAATCTCAAACTCTGGCCTCATTGCCTCAATGAATAAGGGGAAAAAGTCCATAGGCCTTTTGGCCCCCTCCCACAGTGTATTCCTATGGTATCATGCAGAAAAGATTATATAAACCAGAAAAATACAACAAACAAAAAGGTTAAACTGCCTCCAACTACACAGCTACATTACAGCCTTTTCCAGCTACTTGAAGACGATTGATTCTTCAGTCAATTTTCACCGACGAGAACAGAAAATGAACAAAGTAGAATGATGTGAGGAAACCAATTGTACCAGTAGCGAGCATGAGGGCAATGGCCATGATGAGCGAGTAGCCAAGATATAGTATAGCCGACACTGGTCCGCTCAAACTCTGCAGGTCAAACACCAAGTAGTTGATGGAGTACAGGAACACATACAGAGCAACAGAACCAGAGGCGTAGAATGCTTTCCACCACCACATCCAATCCTCAACGCAGAGATGCATGTAAGTGAGTACTACTGATACCTCAGCACAAACGACGACTAGGAGCAGAAGCACAATCAGGAGAAAACCAAACACGTAATAGAACCTTCCAAGCCAGATGCTCGAGAGGATGAAAAATAGCTCAATAAAGAGAGTTCCAAATGGAAGAGTTCCAGCACCAAGAACCAGCAGCCAGGATGGATATTTTCGGGCAGGGATCTCCCTAGGAATCTGGTTGGTTCGAACAGGATACTGAATGGGCTCAGATCTAGTACCCAGGAAGCCTCCCAAAAGGGTAAGGGGAACAGATATGCAGAACCACAGAGATAAAAGCACAAAATACATGGAAATTGGAATAGCACCAGTACTGTTACTTCCCCAAAGTATGAAATTCAGAGCAGTGAGAATAACAAAAACAATTCCAGGGAAGAAGCATGCAATCGACCAAGAAACCGATCTCCACCCTTCTGAAGTACCCTTAATAGTTCTCCACAAACGTACCCCAACATATCCAGCAGCAATTCCGAGGAAGAGATAAAGCAGTATCATTCCTGTCAGCAGCATACCACGCGAAGCTGGAGACATGAAGCCAAGGGCAGCAAAAACAATGGTGACAACCCCCATTCCTAAAATTTGGACCCCATCTCCAATCATAACAGCGAGAAGCTTCGAATGATTTGGCTCTCTGAAAACATCGCCAACAACAAGTTTCCATCCGGACAGCTCTTCATTCATTTGGGCCTGTGCTTCTTTATCCAACTCCTCATACCTAGTCAAATCCCTCCTCACAGTCCTCAACATGATAACAAACACAATAGCAGCCAAGAACAAGATGACCATCAGCGAATTAAGAATTGAAAACCAATGGACCCGGGCACCTTCCATCTTCAGATAAGCATCCCACCTAGAAGGCCATCTAATATTACTTTTCTCGAATTCAACTTCGTAAGTGAAGGAGACCCTTTCCTGCTGCCTTATTATTTGAGACTTTTCAAGCTCCAATGGGCAATTCACAGGTGCAACATTGTCATACATATGGAGTTTTGCCATCTTCTCAGGGTCATACTTCACACTGCATGGAATAACCTCAAAACCAACAATCTCGTACCCAGAAGCCTTCTTCTTATCTGCCTCCGATATAACGCCCATGCCTTCCTCACCAGTACCAATTATTTCCACTCCAGCTCCTTCATACTCGTGAATGAGAACCTTAAACTTGAGATGATTGATGATATAATCGTCTTCACTACCTTGTGGTGTGTACCCAACTGGAAATCCAGTCCATTGGATTTTAATCCCATTCTGAGTAGCATATCTCAAAGCAGGCAAGTTATCCAGAATTATGTTCACTTGATAAAGGTCACGAGTTCTCTGTTTCAACAGCTTGACCTCATGCTCACTGAGTGGAGGGGTGGTGCATAAGTATACAGATTCATTCACATTCATACGGAAACGGTAAGGAGAATTATCAATCTGGTCTCCCATTAACAGTTCTCCCAGATTTTCAGCACTCTTCTTTACACCCCCTTGAGGTGTGCAGTAAGGAAGACTATAGTAGCTATAAGGAAGCTCAGTTTCAATCGAAGTCAACGAGTTCACCTTGGCATTTATAGTTTGTCCAGTTGTGTATGTACGCATATAAGTACCCGGCAGATAGAACCCATTGCAAATATCCAACAGCAGGACCAAGTAAACAAAAGCAGCAAAATATTTCCTCTTAAAGATTGATGGCAGCGCCATTCTTCAGTAAAAGGAATAAGAACCAGATCCCTTAAAGCTGCACTCAAGCTATTCCAATATTATTGGATTATGAAACATCAACAACCTACAGGAGAAAAAGCTTATTGTCATCCTTCATCATTTACTCTACTTTTATAATTATAAGAAAATAATGATGCTCATATTTCTTAATTGAATTTAACCTCTCATTAGTCAAACCAAAATCCCCAGTAAAGCAAATCTTAAATTTAAGCAGATCTTGATTAGTCAAATCTTAATTATAAGAAATGACGTTGCTTCAAATTTCAAATACTGACAGAATGAGAACAAGTACATCAGTCCTTGAATCAAGTTGGTAAAGACTCATTCCCTTGTAGCACCGGAAACATCAATGGACCTAACAACTTGCTCGTTTTCAAAATCGAAAATCAGCATTTACATTAGTTACCATACATCAGATCTAATACTTCTCAATCACGGCACTAAGAAGAATGCAAATCCATGCACTTGCATTAGCTACTGTCCTCCATATCACCCTCTACAGCACATTTTGACACAGGATGTCTATGCTAAAATGAACAAATAGCTCAACTTCTGGTGGTTAACTTCAAGAACAATGCAAAAATGCATAAAACTACAAACCGTAACTAAGATATAACATAATTGTAAATACGTGCAGATTCATACCAAGTACAGGCACACTTCATCCTCACTTCATGATTAAACCAGTGACAAAATCAGTATGTTCATGAACTTATGATTCTACTATAATGGAAAAAGTTTGTAACTATACAGATCTACAACTTCAATCAACGAACAAGAAATGAATTAACTGGGCCAACCTTTGGTTCATTAAATCGAAAAACATGCAAATTACTAGACTTATCAAATTGAAACAAGTAAAGATTAAACGAACAGACCATCAATTTCATCGAGAAACTACAGCACAATCATTCAATATGAATCAACCAGGAAAAAAAAAGATTCAACACGTATAAGTAACGGTTACCGGATCTGGATAGGAGGTGTTGAGCCGCCGGCGAGCTCAGTCGGATTGATTCGCGAAATGGATCCGACGGTTAGGGTTTGGCTGTATTGATTGAATTCAGTGAAAATTCCAAGAGAGAGATAATCGTGGAGACTTAAAAGAGAAGTGTGATGGGCTGTAGTTTGCCAGAAACCCTTTTATTTATACGTTGAGTTAAGTGGACGTAAAGCGGGGTTAGATCTCGATGAGGTATTTAACTGTGGTTAAATTTTAATTTTACCGGGACGGTTGACTCTAACTAGTGATTAGCGTTAATTGCAAAAGACCTCCTTGAACTATATAGAGTATCAAAAATTATCCCATATAATTTTTGTGGTAAAACCTTCGGGGCTTATATGGGGTTTTTGAGTTTGATTGTCTCCAACCTTCAGTATTTATCACTCCGCTGCATCTTTGGGTTGCCTTCTACGGTTGAAACGTTAATCGGGTCGGTGTTATTTTTCTAAAATTTCTTTCTTTATGTCTTCCTCTACTTCTTATGGCTCTGAGAATGGAGATTGGATTGAATATTGGGTGTTTAACCCTAGTTAATGAGTTCAAATGTTTTTTTGCATCCCAGATTACATGTATGTTTGTGTTTGCACCTGGACCATTTCGTGTGTTTCATTTTGCTCTTTTACTTCCTCGTGATGAATTCCCCCATCCCTTTTGTATTTTCTTCATCTTATCATTTTGAAGTGTTGTTTGAAGTCAGTTAAGCTTCCACCGATTTGTTGTATGTAGTTTTTAGATTGAGAATGGAAAGAAGATTCAATCTTGGTGATGTTTCCATGCGTGTTATCACTGTTTAGGTGCCTTATTGTTTCCCAAACTGAATCGGGCGTTATTTGCTGAATTTTCAGGTTGGCTCTTAGTTGCATTATAGTTTTGAAATGGCTTTAGCTCGTGGTGTGAGACGGCCTGTTGAGGCTCTGTGCAAGATGATAAATTCCCCTATTAACTGTCGCCGTGGTTATTCTGTGATGACTTGTAAAGGATCTCTCTTTACCGGATATGGAGAAAATAGAAGTTCATTTTCTTCTGATTCCACGTATTTAGGCTATGGAGTTTCGTCCAGAAGATTTTCTACTGAAGTCTCTTCTGCTGATCAAATGAGTCTCATAAAGCAGTTGAGGGAAAGAACTAGTGCTCCAATTAAAGAAGTCAAGGCAGCTCTAGTTGATTCCAACTGGGACATTGGTGAACAAATTTTTAATCTTTTTTTTGTTTAGATATTTTGCATATTTGACTATCGTATGTAGTGACGAATATGATTGAGGGAATATTGTGATTTATGCAGATTCTGCTCAAACGGAACTGAGGAAAAGGGGAATGGTCCTTGCATCCAAAAAAGCAACTCGAACTGCTGCTGAGGGTTTGCTTGCATTGGCGCAGAATGAAAGGAAAGCTGCTATTATTGAACTTAACTGTGAAACAGATTTTGTTGCGAGGAATGAAATTTTTCAATATCTGGTCAGTATGATGAATCTATAGCTTTCGATCTTTCAATGTAAAGTGAAAGCCTGTTGAATATTGGTAGAAAAAATATTCAATTTCAAATACATTTCTTGTTTTTTTTGACCTGAAACAAATTTTGAAGTTTAATTTTGGTGTTGCTGCATTAAATCTTCAAGCTTCCCATTTTTATTGAATACAATTTTGTACTTCCGTTTTCATAGCTCCTTCTTTGTTATCGTGATAAAGTTTCCTCACTTGAAAGTTAATTTATGCAGGCCCAGTCTTTGGCCAAGTTGGCATTAGTGGTTGATGGTTCTCCTCTCTCCTCTGGAACTTTCCATGTTAGACCAGAGTCTTTGGAGGTGGGTAACATCCTGTTCGGAACAATTTTAACTGCTTCAGTCTCTCCTAAAAGCTTATGGGGTTTGCTAAATGATATTTATATTTTGATGTATCATTCAGGTCTGATCTAATGATAAGATTAAAGAGTATTTGTTGATATTTTTGCTTCTTACTCTATTTCATCCTGTATATGGTGTTACCTTATATTCTTGGATGTAGTAATAATAAGTTTACCTTAGTGTTGCAAGTCAAGAGCATGTGATGCGAAACGGTGGAAGTATGGTAGAGATAATGTATACATCATTTTTGGTGTCCTTGGAGTGTGCGATTATGTGGTTTCGGATTTACTATTGTCATGTACGTAATTTGCATGAACCCTCATTCTTGATGTACATTTGGAGTCTCCTGCTTCTTGTGGGAGGAAGAAACGAAGAAAATAGGAAGGAAGAGAGGGGGTGGTGTATGCTGTGTATCTTTTGCAAATATCTACAATCTCATAGGCCTTATTGTGAAACTATTCTCCACTGGACTTTGTCAGGAAAATACCCATGTGTATAAGTTTATAATTCTGTGATACGACTCCATTAAGATATTAGATCCTTAAAGATGGCCTCTGTATGTTTAAATTCCTTTGCAGGAGATGACATTAAACTTAGACCATCCTAAATTAAGTGGAGAAAAAACTGTTCAAAATGCAATTACTGAAGTTGCTGCAATGATGGGAGAGAATGTCAAGCTCAGAAGGGGTTTTGCAATGTCCTCTCCTTCATATGGTGTATTGTCTACTTATCTTCACACCAGCCCACAACCTGGTAAAGTAAACTTTGCACTCAATCACATTCTGGATTGAAGAATAGTCGATGCTTCTACATGAATACTTTCCATATTGTCTGTAATAGTTTTACTGTATGGTAAACAATGCCTCTTGTTATTATTTATTATCATATGCAGGTATTGGCCGAATTGCTGGACTCTTGTCACTTGAAGTAGAGAATCAGAATGCTTCATTGGATGCTCTTGAACGTGTTGGATCAGAACTAGCAATGCATGTGGTGGCAGCAAAGCCCGTCTTCTTAACAAAAGACCTTGTTTCTGCTGAAGCACTAGCAAAAGAACGTGAAATTCTCAAGTCGCAGGTACCTCGATGTCATCATTTGATTATAGTAATCTGGCTCTGAGCTGTCTTAATTCTATGCGTCGAAGATCTATATTGTTTAAAGTTTACAAGTTTAGTTATAACTTCAGTTGTCTTCTTGTAGATCCAGTTCTTGCTTTGCTGCCTTGTACTCTGAGGTTACAATTCCCTAATTTTTATTCAGTTTCCTTTGGCAGGCAGAAAGTACAGGGAAGTCCCAGATGGCTATAGAGAAAATGGTTGAGGGACGGCTGCGCAAGTATTACGAGGAAGTAGTTCTAATGGAGCAAAAATTTATTGTTAATGACGCTCTCAATGTGAAGGTATAATGGTTTGTTCTAAACATCACACTAATTTCTTTGTAAATTGGGGAGTGCATGAGGCCTCCACCTCCTTGCTTCTCTATTTTCATGTTCATCATTGCTATCGCTGTTCTGTAGATCATGATTGCAACTCTTTGAGATTCCTTTGTTGACAACATATGACGAATAATAGTTGTTTTGATTAGAAAATTTTCTTTAGGAAGACGATGCATTATTGTGCTTAACTTTTTTATTGTACATTACATTCTCATTTCACTGCTGTTCTCTCAAAGAAATTTTTAATGTCATCTCATTTCTAGATCTACATATTAACTTTTCCTCATATACTTGCAGACTTTGTTGAATAACCTATCTGAGGAAGTTGGTACTCCTGTGAGGATAGGGAGTTTCTTACGAGTAGAAGTTGGAGAAGGTCTTCAGAGGTAAATATTGTAAAGCTTAGTTATCGATGTTTCAGGTCTTTCTTATTTGAATATATGTCCAAATGATTCCTCTGTAAGCCCTCGGATCACTCTTTTGCCTTAGTGGACAAGTAGTTTGTCCTCCCTCTGGCAGGGCAACCATTCTGGGACTTAGGAGTACCACTTTTTGAAATCGCCCCTAGGAGAAGTAACTTTTCTAAATACTCAACTGTGATTGTTTCATCAGTAACAATGTTCCAATTGTCTAGTAATTAAATTTGAAACAATGGAGTTAACCAAAAATAAATAAAATGGAAATAATAGTCGAGTTTTAAACACCAACCCGCCAAATGATTGGATTACTTGGTTCCTTTTACTTTGCTAATGATTACAGCCATTTTCATTTTAGAAAATGCTACGCTTGTAATAATCCTTGAAAACCTCGATATGCGCTTTATTTCCTTCCTCATTATCTAAAGAACCGAAAATTCAGACATGGAGAAACTAGTGTTAAACCTTGGTAGCAAAAAGGTTAGCCAGGATGAACCAAGAGTCCACAGTGTTTTTATCTAATATTAATTTCTTCTAGAAGCATTTATTTTTCTCTTAGTGTCTGGAAGTAAAGTTTTACTAGTGTATACAGGTTGCCAGTGAATGATAATATTACTGCATTTATTATAATTTGGTGTAAATGGAATATTACTGCCAACAAGAAAAGTCATCTTAACCCTGTCTTATAAGTACCATACATCATCATATGAGAAGAAAATTTATGATGGAAGATATGAAATTCTTCCTTTCACTTAATTAATCAGTATTTTGCAATGTTTGATACCCTTAAAAATTGGGTTACAAGATCTGCCGAGGTGGGTAGCCCTAATCAGATGTTTGATACCTAGATGATGTCTTTGTTCCTCTGACAGCAGCTCTTTATAAGCTACACCATTTTTTCTTGTGTTTGTTGTAGGCTTGAAGCATCCGGTGCTCCTGAACCTCTAGCTCAGGCTGCTTGAGTTTATAACGGCTGCAGAATCCTGGAAATCACTGGACTTGTGTTATCGCCCTCTAGCTCAAGCTGCTTGATTGGTTAATGCTTGAAGAATCCTGGGAAATCACTGAAGTTAATGTTATTGAATTTTGGGGGTCTGATTTTCAAATGTTTTTGGGTAATGTGTTTAATTATTAATTTTGTATCATAGCCTTTTTGCATACTACGGTTGAGACTAATAATAATGTGATGGCCATCAGTTTTTTCCTTTCTGGTGGTTAGAGCCTTAGAGGGAGTGGCAGTTTTTACCCAATTTCCATGAGCCATATAGTGTAGGGTAGTTTTACATTAGTCAAACCGAACTTGCATTTTAATGTTACATTTGATGGCCCTTTATCTCTCTCCCTTGTTGTAACTTTAGCTTGAGACATTCTCTGCTTAATTTTTTACCAAATAACATGCACTGTTGATGAGATGCTCAATGATATTTCATACATTCAAATGCTAACTTGCCCTCCTTGGTTGGAAAGATTGTGCGAGTGGTTATCTTTTCTTAATATCCTGTATCATCATTTACTTCGTTAGGATTGTTTCGGCATTTTGCATGTGTTTACTTCGACTTCATAATGAAAATAGGCAAACGTCGAATAGTGAACACCAAACACAAATCTCATTTTCATTCCAACCAAATTTTATACCTAAATCGAAGATAATGAGTATTGTCTTACTTGCAATGAAGAATTAAAAGATAGCCTATTCAAAGTGTTCTAGGGCGATATGGTAACTTTGTAGTTTGGATTAAACATACTAGTGTCTGAAAATCGACCCCTTGTAGCTAATTATACCAAAAGAATAGTAGTGAAACTTTCAATCAAATAGGGAGGACAATCAAGAACTTTATCTATAAGAAGACTGCATCAAAATTGTTTGTATCACTGATCTACCGCCATTGTTTGTATCAGTGATCTATCTACCGGATGTCACGTTAAAACTACTTTTGAATTTTGAGGCCTCATTTATTTTCCACTTCGCTTCGCTCTCCCTCTAAACAAAACAAAAATGCTGCGATTGCTGAAACGCAATTCGGGCCTCGGAATCGGGCTGACACGCCGGCTACTAAGCACCATCTGCAAAGCCGGCGATAAGACAACCGTAATGAGCTTCGGGGACGGAAGCCATGGCGCATTGGGATTGCCCTCCTCCCTGATTGGCCTTGGCTCCGCCGCCTACGAGCCCACTCCAATCTCCGACCTTCCGCCCAATATCTCCACCATCGCCGCCGGTCACTACCACTCCCTCGCCGTCACTTCCGACGGCCATGTCTGGTCTTGGGGCCGGAATAACGAATTCCAGCTGGGCCGTGACCCTCTTTCACCAAGGTCAGTTTTCTATCAAATTTTCTTTTTTAACTCTTCAAATTCAAGCTCTGATCAATTCCGATGAGTCTTGACTTTCAGTTGTTCGTTTGTTACGTTTTCTCTCAGTGATTAATCAATAATTGAAAGGGTTTTCAGCTTTCGTCGTTATTGAACACTTTGCGAACAAAGTTCGCATCTTTCTTTTCAATGTCATACAATCTTTCATGCTGAAAACTGTTTGACGTTTATGTATCTTTTATGTGGAAAGATCAGACTTGGTGAAACCTGTAATAAAATTCGTCAACTTTGTGGTCGAAAGCAATTCTTTGCACTGATAACATTTAAACATGACATGAAAGGAAAATTCTGCCTTTGTGTTTTGATTACAGTTATGCACAATTATGTCTTGATTTCTATGTAGGGGGACATGGAATGAGCCCAAAAGAGTAGAAGGACTGAATGAAGTTAGAGTTCAAAGTGCATTTGCATCCGGGGTCATTTCTGCTGCTATTGGCGATGATGGTTCACTTTGGGTGTGGGGAAAGTCCAAGCGCGGACAGCTTGGTATAGGAGAAGAAGTTACCGATGCTGTTTCTCCATCACGAGTTACCGGACTTGATGGAGAAGAAATAGTTAAGGTGGTCTCATTATTGTGTTTAAGGTAGAATAGAAAAATTTTGAATTCTCATCTTACTTGAACTGGAAAAAAGAATAAAAAATTTGATGAGTGATGTAGAATTTTTTGAGTGATATGTTGTAGATCCTGCACTAGAAGTTTGTCTTTTACATTGGTTTTGCAGGTTTCACTAGGTTGGGGACATGCGCTGGCTTTGACTAAATGTGGAAAATTGTTTGGCTGGGGTTACTATGCTGATGGAAGATTAGGTAAAGTTGGCAGAGATTTCGAGCCTTCTGCCCTAGATGCGGCTGCAGGGAAATCTTTATCTTCTCAAGGCAACTCGGGTTCAATGCTTGACGCTGCTGAGAAGCTAGTATCAGAGAGTATCGCTAAAGAAAATGATATGCCAATCATCTGGGAGCCATGTTTAATTGAAGAGCTACAAGGCACTGAAGTTGTTGATATTTCATGTGGGCTTGATCACTCCTTAATTCTTTGTCGTAAGTCAGGCTCTTCTGTAAAATGCTATAGATCTGGTGCTCAACAATATGTAGCTAATTTCCGACTATTATTGCAGGGGATGGGACACTTTTAAGTTGCGGGAGCAATGCTTATGGCCAATTGGGTAGACGGAAACTAGATTTGGGGTTGCTTCCAGTTGACATAAAGTTACGCCCTCTTTCTGTTGCATCAGGGATGGGACATTCTTTTGCTATTTGTGAAGATCACTTATCAGAAAACTGTGAAGGCACACGGGTCCTTGTTTCATGGGGTTGGAACAGAAATTCTCAGCTTGGTAGAGAAGGTATGGATAACATTCCACTTGTGGTTGCAGCACTTTCTGGTGAGACACCGATATCAATATCTGGAGGGCGGGCGCATTCAATGGCCGTGACAGCCAGGAAAGAGCTGTGGACATGGGGATGCGGTAGAAATGGCAGACTCGGGTTAGGCAGCTCAACTGATGAAACAGAACCTATGGTAGTTGATTATCTTGAAGGTTGTGAAGTACTGCAAGCTGTGGCCGGCTTTGATCACAGTCTTGTACTTGTTTCTGGCGCGTAACTGATGTTCTTAAATCAACTCAGTGTGCACGGTTGGTTGTCTGAAAATTCTTCTAAGAAGATGCATCCAATAGACAAGGTTGGTGAGACTCTCATCGTACAAATTTTGTTGGATATCGGAAAATCTCCAAAATTTCATTGAAAGAGCGGAATTTCCGACGTTTAAGTGCTAGATGATGTTGGAAGATGAAGATGTAAGTAAGAAGCAAATGAATTCTGTTTGTCAATGATGAGTTTCAACCTTGTGAACTTGAGTTTAGTAGATCTTGTTACTGTGAGTTCCTCTATTGTGGATGTTTTCTAGGTTGATGTAATTATAGTAGAGTACTTACTTCACCAATAAAGGAAGAATCAAGCAAAATTCACTTCCATTACAAATTCCATATTTTTACACTCCAAAATGGTGCTCAATGAACAAGTATGTTAAAAACTCGCGGGACTATCATCCAACTGCTTCTCATCTTCAATGTCTACTTCCAATATTTCCTGAAGAGTAAAACCAGCATTTTCATGAATTTTCATTAAAGTGCTAAGTTAAAAGAAGAAACCCCAAAAGAATTTGCACTAGGAAAACAGATACTAACTTACAGGGATCCTCTGTTTCAAGTAATTGCCCAACCTGGCTACAACAGTAGACCTTTTATGCCAAAATTTGCCACTCAAACGAAGTTTCACGTATGGTCCATCTAAGTCGGCTAATTCTGCCTTTCCTGAACATTTCCTCAGACCATCAGTATCATCAATTTCACGCAGAATCAATCATGAATTCGAGGAAAAATGGAGTAACCCCATTTGCAGAGTCAAAAAAATTACCCGTTATTCCAACTGAAACATCAAATAATTGTGCCAACTGCAGAAAACCCACACGAACACAAAACTCAAAACTAAATTTGATATTTGAAGGGAAAGAAAAAAAAAAAAAAAAAAAAGGAATGAAGAACTAGAAGACACTCGCCTCAACTCTTGCATCAGCTAGGACTTGCTCTATGTTATCTTCGGTCAAATCCAATGGCGAATTTGATGCTGAAACTGAAAATTTTCTCCATTTTCTTGCGGAAGATGGGCGTCGAATCCTGTTTCTTGAGAACTTGAGTGCCAATTCTGGGAATTCATTGGGTTGCAATCCTAAGCGAGATTGGCAAGTCTGTTGGGGAAAATGGAAATGTGAATGGAATTTGTAGGAGGGAAGTTTTGGATTGTGGGAATGGAGATGATGAACAATGTCCATTTGCATCTTTTCCTGCTTTTGTTTATCCACTCTGTTTAGTGTTTACCCTGTCGATCGCTTTGTGTGGATGATGATGGCAAAAATGTTAAAATTGGATTGAACCGGTCGGTTCAACAGATATAACAGACGGTTTAAACTGAAGTTCATAAGCCGGGAAAAATTTTCATTTTGCAATGAGATAACATACTTGGGATTCTTAATATCATTAAAACCTATCAAGTTTAACTCATCATCTAAAAAACCATTATTGTTTAACAAAATACCAAAATATCTTTTAATAAGAGAGTCAATTATCTAAGGATCCTGTCATAACTAAAAACCGGTGTATACATATTAACTCGACCAAAAAAAAAAAAATGCCGAAAAAATGTTTGTACCTTGCAGAAACCCACCTTAAATTTTTTTTTCAAGCTCTAGTAAAATTAAATTTTTTTCCAAAATTCAGCTTCTGGGGCTCGTAACATGTAAATTTTGGATTTAAAAGTAGTTATTTGATTTTATTTGAGTAGGGAAAAAAAATTTGCGGAGAGTTTCTTGGGGTTACAAATAACTTTCTTGATACCTTTTGGCTTATTCCATATGCATATATCAATTTCAGTTGTTGGAGGACCTTTTTGAAAATTGACTTACCAATTCAGGGATATTTTTAATATTTCTTAAACAGTAAAGGTATTTTAGATCATTAATGAAACTTTAAGGGCGTTTTTATTATTAAGCCATTTATATCAGGGTTTGAATCGAATAGTACGATAAATAACAACAAGCACTTTGTTATAGGGGTATTGGATCAATAATATGACCCAGATTGTGGTACAAATACTCGTTTGTGCGAGAGTTTTGTCACAAACAAAAGTAGGTGTTCATACTTATTAAGAGAAGTTTACCTCTAATTAAAAGATAAAAATTATGAAACAATACTTTTGGAACACCCTAATGCATGCTTGATATTCCAAAATTAATAAATAACACCCCAAATCTAATAAGGTTACCATCTACGAAAATGCGCACCAGTCTAACCCAAAATGAGGTTAACGTTCAACATACAATGATCCTCTATTATATTCGGTCCTTTTCTCCCAAGTATCCAAAATGCCATTCCAGGCATACAAACTAATAATAATTACATATGCATGCAAATCCATCAATTTTAGCCACATTTTAGATACTAATTTTAGGATATCATATAACTTCTCTATTATTCGAGGTAGGAAAGGGGCTTGGATAAAATCCCTAGTAGGAGTAGTTCACAACACAAAATTGGTCCGTCGACCCAATAATGTACTCCAAGTACGTACGTGGAAGCAATTTAACCAGTATCAACACAAAACTAGTCCTCCCTCCCACGAGCATAAATTCCAATCATTGTTGGAGAAAGCAAGTTGTTAATACTCCAATAAATATTAAATACAGCCATTACAAGAAGATTTAGTACTTGTTTGGACAACGTTTTGTTTTAGTTTTTTATTTGGATTTGAGAGGAGATTTAAAAGGTAGTTTAGTTTTTTATTTAGAAAGTATTATAGTATAGTGATCATTATGAAATTAAAATAGTTCAGCGACCAAAATAAAGATTTTACAATAGTATAACGACCAAACACAAGACTTTATAATAGTTCAGTGACCAAACGCAACACTTTACAATAGTCCAGTGACCAAAACGAAGACTTTATAATAGTATAATGACCAAACACAACATTTTAAAAGGTAAATTAAAAAATTGTTTAGATGATAATTTTTTTTCTTCGGGTTTTGTGTTTAAGAAGTAAAATGAATGAAAATGGAAAATAGTTATTGGACAAACAAACTCTTAGCCATTAGAAGCAAGTTGGAGTTTTTAGAATAGCCATTACAAGAATTAATATACAGCCAATAAATACTAGACTTGAAAACTAATGACGTGCAAGTAAGAGTATCTCATCCGCTACATTAAACATATGTATGTGCCTAAATTCACAATAATTTCATTTGATTAGAGAATTGTCAAGATCAACTCCCAAGGAGACAGAGAAAGAAACGATTTGAATGAGAGAAAAAAAAAGAAGAAAAAAAAAGAGAGGTTATTTTTAAGTCTAACACTCCAACTCCAGTGTTCATAGAAGGCAAAACTCCTTAAATCAGATAGTTGGATGAAGAAATGTACCCAAGCACTTCACATTTCACAACCACACATGAGCATTATAATTATGTTCACAACTTTTTCATTACATTATTAAACATAAGGGTAACTAAAACCAAACCAAAGTACCAAACCAAACCGAACTTGTAAGGAAGCTCATTTGGCCATTTAATGTCCACGTCTAGAGCAAAAACTAGAATGACCCCATTAGGCCATTACAGTGGTTTTGGATGAATCACCAATAGTAGTAATAGTAATGTAGTATATCCCTCAAATTAATGCTTTGCCTCTTTGCCCAAATGCCAAAGTGATGAGATTTGAGATGAAATGAAACCTATGTTTTCTTTTGTTTTGTTTTTTTTTTTATTAAAGTGTGTGTGTGTGTGAACTGTGAGGTAAAGATTGCATTTTTTGCATGGGAAAGTGTGGAATGCTTTGAATGAGGCATTGAATGCTTCACCGCCCACCCAACTTCCCCACCGATTCATTAATAAGCCAGTGAAGGAAGGAAAGAGCTCCCTCACCCTTCATTTCTGTCACTCCCCTGTTTTTCTCCCAATCTTTTTCCTTTCTTTGCCCATCAGAATCTTTACAGTGAAAAAAGCCTTCTTTGAAGAAATGGCTGACAAGAGGATTGATGTAGTTGAGGATGATGAAAATGTGAACCCCTGCATGAGAACTGCAGAGACTCTGCTCAGACTTTTGCCTGTGACTCTCTCTGTGGTGGCACTTGTTGTCATGCTCAAGGACTCCCAGTCTAATGAATATGGATCCCTTACCTACTCTGACTTGGGAGCTTTCAGGTAGTAATAATCAATTAATCAGTCATCTTCTTCTCTGACTAAATTTTAGCACTTTTAGAAGTTAGCCCATTTGGGAATTTCTTTCTCCTGAGCTCTTATCTTGTGATATTTTGGTGATCATGATGACTTTCTCCTAGTAGAAATTGAAAATTCAATTGAAGGTTGTACAAAAGAAATTTTGGTTGCACGATGTTTGATGGTTGATGATCACATTTGGGACAGGTATTTGGTACATGCCAATAGCGTCTGTGCTGGTTATTCCCTCTTGTCAGCCATTGTTGTAGCTGTTCCTCGCCCTTCCACCATGTCTAGAGCTTGGATTTTCTTCCTCCTCGACCAGGTACATGTACTTTTTTTGCTCTCATCTTATAGTAGCAAAAAATTGATTGAGTTGGATACAAGCCCTTTTTGTTTTCTGTGTTCTCAATCAATGTTTCTGCGATAAATCAACAACCAAAACTAAAATGCTGTCCATACAAGTACACAAAGTGGTCTTATGAGTTTACTGGTGCAGGTTCTGACATATGCAATTCTGGCTGCTGGAGCGGTGTCAACAGAGGTGGTGTATTTGGCATACAAAGGAGATTCAGCTGTGACATGGAGTCAAGCTTGCGGATCATTCAATGGTTTTTGTAGAAAAGCCACGGCTTCAGTAGCCATCACTTTCGTTGTGGTGCTCTGTTATGCAGGGCTGTCCCTGATATCTTCTTACAGATTGTTCAGCAAATACGAGGCCCCTATTGCCCACAAGAACAAAGGGATCGAAATTGCAGCTTTCCAAGGTTGATTTGCCACTCTGCAAACCTAGCTTAATTCCCTCCTACCTATATAGCCTAGAAAAACTTGCCAAAATCAAAATAATGTTGTTCGTGTGCATGTTGCTAAAAAAAAAAGCCTCTTGTTGATGTTGTATAACCTCAAAATATATGTGTTGAGATCGTTCAGCTGGTGTTTAGCAAATAGAGGTCTCACGAAAATGAAGTGAATCGTTGTGCTTTCTCCCTTTCTTGAAGTTTGGTAATCTTCCCACGAAAGATCTAATCTAAACGTCCATCTTGAAAAATGATTATGGTTACTGTTCTGTGACTATGGTTTTGTATTCATGTCTCTAGGTCGGAAACTGACAGTTCAAAAAAGAGTACTTTCAAACGACGCTACAATTATTTCCAATTCATGGTTGATACTGTTTCCGACCCAATCTCTCCTCTCTTTGACTAAATAACCCGCTAGCCATTATTGGGAGTAAAGTATCACCAATTTTCTCCCTATTATTCTTGCTATTTTTTATATACTCTCTCAAGTCTCAGCATTCCACGAAATTTTATGCCTATCAGATGAAACATAAGTATTAATGCAACTTAAAGGTTTCTGTTAAGATTGATATAACTTCATAGTATTAGACAAAGTTTGATATCTTTTTATTGTGCAGTTCAGTAAGTAGTAATTCCTAGACGTAAAGAACCTATTTATTGAATGGACTAAAATGATCTTTTAATAACCAACACAATCTTCGCACTAAGTGTCAACCAATCCGAATTTATAGACATAAGTTGGAAAACCCCGTAACTCAACTTCAAAGAGAAGCATGATGATCTATAGAAAAGAGACCAAGCTACCATAATCGCCTAACATAAAGCAAATTGATTCATATCACCAAACCCACATCAAAAGCTTCTTTTGCATTAGAATCCAAGCAGGCAACCATAGAGCAAGAAGGCAAACGACATCACAGATGCGACGAGTAGTTAACACAAAGATCAAGTGACCAACACTGCAGTAGATATTGTCTTTGCAACTTCATCCAGAATTTCAGAATTAGCTAGCTGGAGGTTTGTACCATACAAATGTTCCAGATATAGACCGCAATCCATTCCATTAGACTAATATAGTACATAACACAATCATCAAACTAGAGGATTTGAGTGCATGAGGTCGGCATCTGATCTCAGTTCAGCGAGCTTCATACTGCACAACTGCATTGCAAAAATACAAGTTAAAATATATTAGCACCCAGAAGTTACCGTCATCATCAGCTTCTATAGTAAAAAAAGGTAGTACAGACTGAACTTCATCAACATCCAAATTGCACATTTTTAATATGCTACTAGTACTTGAGAACTTCTGCAGATTATTAAATCCAAAAGACGATAAGCAGCCAATGACTCCAATCACAAACTTCTCTAAACAACTAGTGGGTTGAACTGAAAATTCAGGTTTACAATATATATAGCTGGGAATCACAGATGAAGCAACAGAACTTGATTTACCAAATAAGCACCAGATTATCCATCCATAAGCCATTTTAAATTTCAGTTTTACAATATATAGCTGGGAAGCAGAGACGACTCAACGAAATCTGACTTAACAAGTAAGCACCAGTTACCAATCCATAAGCCATTTTCGTCATGCATTCTAATTACACTTGTTAATATCGCAAACAAAGTGGGAGGGGGGGGGGGGATCAGGAACAATGCGAAGAACATAAGATCCTAAAGGCACAAGAAAATTGATAATCTCCAACCATGCTAAACTACCAGGAGAAAATTGCTAAACCATGTAAAAAAATCCTCTTTGACAAACCAAGCATCTAAACAAAAACCCTAAAGTAATCCAATAAAATTTCCCAAAAAAAACTTAAACGAATTGGAGCAGCAGAAACAGGTCAAAATCAGGTGAGGAAAAAAACCCCAAGAAACTTACTTCTGCGGGTGCGCTTCTTGTAAAGAATACGGTAGCCGCACTCCCTGCACTGAATCACATCCCCTTGCTTCAGGGTGTTCTCCTGTCCGCAATCTAACAACAATTTCCACCCAGAATTTCACATAAATATCATACAGTTTCAAGGGGAAAAAAACAGCAAAAGATCCCTTTAGCATCATCACTAATTACACAAACATACCTCCGCAGACGTACGTTACTGGCTCAGGCTGGGGCTGAGAATCCATTGAAAAATTGACTGCAAAAACCAAAATTAGTGAACTCTGTGTTAGGGCTTTTTCCGGTATAACAACGCTTTGAAAAGGAAAAATATCAATTCGGAGAAAATAATTTCATAGGGAATCGAGAAAACCTACCGAGTTCGAGAAGCTTCGAAGAAGGTCAACAATGGCAGAAGGTTCTCCCCCGCGGAGAATGAAGGAACCAGACGAGAGAACCAGACGAGAGGGTTTTAAAACGGTGGGTTGGGTTGTGTTATGTGATGAACTTGTAACTTTCTCAACCGATTTTGACTAATTTATAGCAGTATAATCTGTTTAGGAAGAAAAAGAAATCACCCTATGTATGGGCCGATAGTGGAGTTGGATTAAAAATGTTGGGCCAACTCCTAAAAGTCAGTTCTGACTATTTCAGCCCAACTCAGATCAAGAGTGTAGATTAGTAACACTTCTAATCAATGTTTGCACAATCGTATTCCTACGTAGGATCGAAATAGGGCCAAAAAATTGGATCGTAGTAGAATCGGAATAGAAAAATCGTAAAATTAATTATATATATTATATAATTAATTACTTTGATAATTAAGTTTTTATTATTTTTACATAAAGTATTTAACAGCTAAACAAAAAGAATTGTGTAAATTCAATTTTCCTATATGAACTTTTTCATAACTTTCTAAGAAAAACTCTTCTCTTGTAGTTCTTCTTTTCATTTTATTAGAAAAACTTTCTAAAATATATTTTTCTTAGCAGTAAAAGTTTTCTCAAAGAATATTTGCCTCAATTTAATGTGAACAAAAAAAAGTAAGAGAAAAGAAAATTCTCAATAAGCTCAATTAATTTTTTGTAATTGATGAATAGTAAACTCGGACTGATCCTATGATCCTGACCGATCATGTACGATCCTAACTGATCCTGACCGATCCCACTGCTAAATTCGAGTTTGATCAATTCAGGATCGATTTAGGTACCTGAGATCGTACGATCCAGGATCGCGAGTTTACAAATTATGCTTCTAATAAATTGGTAATATTACTCCGTCGTTTCTATAAATTTAGAAACGCCTGAAGAGAGGGAAAACGGGGGAAAAAATAACTCTATTTCTGTGGAGCGGTTGCCGCTTCGTTATCGCGACATTGTCATCAAGGAATGCTGTTTTCTCTACAATATCTGTTCAACTTTAAGGGATGGAACCGTCACTTCCCATTGGCATTGACTTTTTATAATTTGCGATGTACGTTATTAATCAAAATGATATTTTCTTTTTCCTTAAATTAGTTTTCTCCTGATTTGTTCCATCAAATAATAAAAAAATAAGTAAAAAAATTATTGCAATCATGTGGAAATAAGAATATATCCCAGTGCAATCATATATTGCTCCAGGTGTAAATTTAGGCCTTTTTAAAAAGAAGAAAGAGTTCATATGTTTTTAGTACCTAATTCGATTTTCATTTTAGGTAAGCTAAAAAGAAAACAATTATACACTTGTGACTAAATTCAACAAATTGGTTCAACATGTTCAAAAATTAAGGTAAGAACCACAAGGCATGAATAAAAGTTGGAAAGAAAACAAAGAAACAAGAAGGCAAAAAAAAAAAAAAGACAAGAAAGAAGAAGACAACCGAGTAGACAATCGGAGAAGACTTCCTTTGGATTCATATTCATAAATTCAAAAAGCCGTATGGATAATAAGTCGTTCACAGTAAATTGTCGGTGACCGACAGTTCAAATGCAAATTCAAATGTAAATTCAAGAAATCCTATAAATACTGAAGGATATCAAATGAGAGAGACACACCAAGTTTTCTGATATCTTTCGAAAACTAAAATCTCTCTTTTTTTTTCTTTTTTTTTTTAAAAAAATCCACCCTACTAGACCTCACTTAAATGTGGGTAAAACTCCCCCTCCCCTCCCCCTCTTACAACCCCTGGTGGGAATCGCACCCTGGTCTATTACCCGGAAGGACAGCAACCTAACTACTAGGCTGATATTCAATTCCCAAACTAAAATCTCTCTTTTGTAGTTCTTTGGTTTAAATAAAATTTCCTTTCGATTCAATTTCCTTTACTCTGATTTTATTATTCTAATAATTTCTTTAATTAAAATATCTTGTTCTATTCTGGTATCAGAGCCATATGGTTGCATTACTAATTACTGCATTAGGTGTAAGAATTATCGTTGGCAGAGTGTTGGCAAGCTAATCAATCCGTTGGTAAACCTTGAGGTTGGTGTTCTCGGTATAGCATTCCCACTATCCCCGGTAAGAACTACTGTTATTGCATCATTTAGAAATGCATTAAAGATGGCAGGAGCAATTATACGCGTATTCTCTGGTTCTAGTAGTAGTAGTAGAAATAAAAGAATAAGTCAAAGTAAAGAAGAATATTTTGAGTCATGGTCAATTTCTGAAGAAAAAATAGAAACTATATACCAAACAGGTTATTTTCAGATTAAAACTGGTTACTTAATTAAGATTCATGAAGAAACATCAAACATTGCAGAAAAATTTCAATCTATTCCATTAATGTCTCAAATATTTTTACATAGGTATTTAGAAAAAGGTTTTTGGTATATTTATTATGGTTTAATTCAAGTTGCAGTTAAACATTTAGTTCATATAGAAGGACAGTAGTTCCAATCAATAGATCTATAGAATTGCTAAGAAATTCCCAGATGAAATAAAAGTTAAAAGTTAATTACAAAGATTTTTAGGATGTTTAAACTATATAGCTGATTTTATTCCAAAGATGAGACAAATATGTGCTACACTATTTCAAAGACTACAGAGAACCCACCTACATTGATGAAAAAACATACTCAAATAGTTAAATTGTTAAAAAAAAATAAAGTTCAAACTTTACCATGTTTATGTATACCTCATCCAGATGCATTCATGATAGTAGAAACAGATGCATCTGATATAGGATATGGAGGAATATTAAAACAAAAATTAGATCATTCATCAGATGAAAAATTAGTTAGATTTTACTCTGGGGTATGGATTGGACCTCAAAAGAATTATTCTACTATTAAAAAAGAAATGCTTTCAATTGTTCAATGTATTTCAAAATTCAAAGACGATTTATTTAACAAAAAAATTCTTTTACGAATTGATAGTAAATCCACAAAATATATTTTGGAAAAAGATGTTCAAAATATTGCTTCAAAACAAATTTTTGCAAGATGGCAAATAATACTTTCTGTATTTGATTTTGAAATTGAGTATTTGAAAGGATCAGAAAACTCTCTACCAGATTTTCTCACTCGAGAATTTTTGACAGGAATAAGACAGTAGAGATCAACCATTCAAATTACAAACAATTAAGGATTATGAAATGAAACCTTCATAAATTAAAAATTCCCCAAACAGATTTCAAACCCTTAGAGATTTTCCAGCTTTAACCTATAGAATAGCAGTAGAAACACCCTTTTCAAAAATTCAAAATACTCTGATGCCTAAACCATACACCTCAACAGCCACTTCAAAACCTTCTTCAAATACTAATTCCAAGGTTGAGCCCTATATTACAAAACATGAAGTTGAACATCTTATTCTCACAAATTATGTTCAACTTCCAGAATACCAACACCTTTAAACCTTTCTTCACAAACTATTTCCAAAAGATTGCCAGTGGATGCCAGATTATGAATTCATTCTGTTTGATTCAGGATTAGTTCAGATTCTTAATAGTTATGATGAAAAGATTCCAAGCAAAATTACTCATTCAAAATGTATAATTAAAAAGGTATTGAAAGCTACTGATTGGTCAAATATTTGGTTTCAAAAGGAGTTCTCGGTAAATTACTCTCTAAAAGGATACACGTATCAAGACTACAGGATGGCTTGGTATCGTGCATTCTTATTAAGACCATTCAATCATTCTTGCTGGTTTCAATTTCATAGTGATTGTAACGGACAATTTCCTGTATGGTTCTATGAGTGGTGGCAACTATATGGACCTGTTCAAGAAATACTTCCACCAATAGTTCAAAATGGATTTAAAGCATGGATGCAAAAGGCAAAAGGCGATGACTACAAGAAAATTGTCCAGTTCTATCAAGAATTCAAAGTTTCCCGGATATTCTGTTGGAATTACAAAGTAACTAATTATTATTATCCAAATCTCAAATATCCAATGAGTCTCATTCAAAAATTCAAAGTCAAGTGTTGGAATAAATTCTCCCAGGGTCTGTGTTCCGAACAGATAGTTATTAAATATATTCAAAATGTAGAAAAAGATCGGTCAGCAATACAACAAGTTTCAAGACAACTTTCTAAGGAAGATCAATTGACACCATCTACTCCTCAGAAGAAAACAAAGAAATCCAGTTGCGAACAGTTAATGATGATAAATTTCAACAATTCTTAAAGTGGCAGAAATTCAAAGAATTGCAGAAAATGGTTACATCTTCAAAAGAAGCAACATCATCTCAAGGCTCTGCAACAGATCCAATGGGTGGACCTTGTACCCAGGATCCATTTGAGATTAAAAAAAAAAGAAAAAGAAAAGAGTAGAAATGAAAAAAGAAAAATTTTATTACTCATCTTATCTTTCTTGCAGGATTTCAAGATTAAAGAGAAGGCGTTTCAAAATTTAGAAACAAACTTGGTAGCAAAATAATCAGTATTCATGGCGTTCTCCCATTCAACAATATTGGTGGTTGCAATATTCAAGAAGGCCGAAGAATGCACAGGTGATTAAATTCAGCAAATTGGTTCAACATGTTCAAAAGTTAATGTAAGAACCACGAGGCACGAATAAAAGATGGAAAGAAAAAAAATGAACAAGAAGACAAGAAAAAGGAAGACAAAAAAGAAGAAGACAACCGGAAAAGACTTCCTTTGGATTCATATTCACAAATTCAAAAAGCCGGTATTGGATAACAAGTCGTTCACAGCAAATTGTCGTGACCGACAATTCAAATGCAAATTCAAATGTAATTCAAATTCAAATGTAAATTGAAATTGAAATGTAAATTCAAGAAATCCTTCTATAAATAATGAAGGATATCAAATGAGAGGGACACAACAAGTTTTCTGATATCTTTCGAAAACTAAAATCTCTCTTTTGTAATTCTTTGATTTAAATAAATTTTCCTTTCGATTCAATTT